CATGAAGTCGAAAGTTAGCAGAAATTACTGGCAAAGGGCTGCAGTATGTTGTGGTCAGAGGGAGGCAGGATTCGCTGTATCGCAGAGAGGGGTGTCCTTGTTCTGTGTGCTGGATAAATACTGAGCTTCCTGGCTCAAACCCTGAATGCTGGTCTCAGCCTGTTGGGCACAGCACACGTGCGTGTGCACACACGGCACACACAGAGGATATGCAATTATACATCACATTTCCTGGTACGTAGAGTACAGAGATGCTGTAGAGATGGACATTTCGCTCTAGAGATGTGGTGTCTATGATAACCTGTAGAAGAGTGGTTTGATGGCAGTGGAGCCTTGTTCCCAGGTCTTGGGGAGTCCTTTAATAGCTGGATTACAGGGAAACTAGTAAAGTGGCAAAAATCTGCCCATGTATTACAGAATGAGGTTAAATATTGCTAAGAATAAAGAAAGAACTGGTTGATTCTTAACAGCTATTAGGAAGCAACCTGAGGAAAAATAATGATGGGGAGTGCCCAGGGGGCAGGGAATTCTTTCTGTCTTTATCCAGAAAATTCAGGACTACTCTGCTTCCTTGTTTGACATGTTATTAAGAAAATTAGGGATAGATCTATACGTTTGACATGTATCAAGCATTTGCAAGCATTATATGCTGTCTGGCTCTCTGGAGTTAAATTAGAGATTTCTTAGGAGAAAAAAGGCAACCTAACATGCGCAGTCCTGTGAGCATCCGGTAACGGAATCAACTGTCCTGCTCTCAGTAATGTTACCCAGGCTGCTTGTCAAGTTTAAGAAGAGACATAAATAAAAAATAAACCATTAGTTTTTTAGAAAATAGGCTATCTCAGCCCAAAGCAACCAGCAAGAGCACTGTCTAGAGGACAATTTGTTTCAAAGCAAAGAAATGGGGTTTGGGCTTCGAAGTGGTCCTACAAGTGCGCAGGGAGAATTGGTAAGAGCAGAGCAGCTAGAATGTGATTTGATTCATTTTGAACTTGTAATCCTGAAAACCTACATGGAGCTGGTGTCTGAACTCTATAGGTGCTTCAGTCTGTACTGTCAAAAGTGTCTTTGTGTCCTCCGAAGATCTTCAGTCCATTGCCATCTTCCTCTCCACCAAATAAAGCATTTCTTCGCTCATCACTAGGTCAGGTTGAAGCAGTCGGTGTGTTCTGAGAACGTATTAACTTTCAAAGCATGAGGTTTCTCTGTTCTTTCAAACCACTTCTGAAAGTTACCACCTCTGGAAGTTCCCACCATAATGTCAATTCTTTCTTTCTAAAGTTGCAGATTTACACCAATACATTGCTAATCTTGATTTATTTTTTTTTTAATTGGTGTGGAAAATCTGAAGTCATAAAACCTTGTGTGACTACAGGACATCGGGATAGAACAGCAGGTAAGAAATTGTCCTAACTATGAGGAAAACTGTGATAATGTGGTGTTTGAGATAGAGCTCAATATAAATAAAAATTGCATAGGATTTAACTGGGCCTCAGTTGTCAGTTAATGACTCTTTCTAACATTCACAATTAAAATTGGCTTTAGTTTATCTTGTTGCATATCTTTAAATGCAGAGTGAACAAGTTTCAAGGTGACTGTCACAATGCATAGTTTGATCCAAAGTCTCTGACTGTAGCAGTCTTGGAGACAATTACTGTCCCTCATTGGTGGGGAGGAACATCTAATGGGGCATGTCTAGAGAGACCCAGCACTTGGATGGGAGGCAGGTGCTACTGTTGCATCTTTTCTCCATGAGAACAGAGCAGGACAATGGAGGCTGCTGTCATAAGCATTCTTCTGCTCAGGGTTGTCTTCTCATGACTATGCTATGCTATTGCAGAAGCTCTTAAATTACCTTAATCTCTTATTAAGGTGGTTATTGTAATCTCCAACTATATTAAAACCAATGTCTTGACCTCCAAGTCTTGGGTAATTTACTGAAGGAAACCTAGACAAGCTTTTCTCCAGAATGAATGGACTCACCAGTGACTTAATGACATGACTCTGATGAGAGGTGAGGTGACTGTATAGAATGGGACCTGGAAACAAAACCTTCTATCGGTCCCTTCCATTGTACTCACTTTGATGTCAGGAAATGCACACTGCCACTGGTCATGGTACCTGTAATTTATGAAGAATCTTTTTTTTTAAATCATTTTGGGGTAAAAAGTTTAACTTGTCTTTTTAAAACATTAAATTATAAGCTGGCAAGTGGTTATGCAGTATATTTGATAAATGTTTTCATATTAAATTAGTGTAATTCTTTCTGCTTGCCTAAGTATTAAGGCAGGAATTTCTTTTGGCACAGTTACCTATTTATTAAACCCTGAGCAGGAAGGGCAGTTCTAACCCACTTCACAGGAACACTTCAGGCCATATTCTCATCTTTTTCTTGAGGTTCCTCCCTCCTGAGTCGTGTGGCTGTATGGAGCTGCCTGAAGGGGCAGGAGCAGTGAGAGCTGGAGAAGGATCATCACAACCGAACCACTGACTGACCTCGCCTCTTCTCTTCATAAACACTGAGAGAAGGTGACACATGCAGCACCACGGCACAATGGGCTGCAGAGGTGAGTGACTCAGAGCCACAGCAGCTCCTTCAGAGCCAGACTTGCAAAACTACCCCAGTGTCCACTGACAGCTGAGACTTCAGTTGTTCACAAGGCTTTATGGTGTTACTTGTTTGACTGTAACGATGAAACACATTAATGAAACACAGAGACCCCAAATCCTCCTCGTGTCACCCATGCCCATATTTCTTTCTGCTTACCTTCTGAATTCATTCAAGTTCTGGGTTCTAAGGGCCAGTTGTAAAGGGGCAGAAACCTCTTTCAGTCTTGTGTAGCTAGATTTCTGTTGTAACCAGGGAGTCTCAATCTCAGAACACTGTAGTAATATCTGGTAAAGACCATCTTCACCCACTGTAGATGAACCAGACCAAAGTGTGTTAATCTTGTTAGATGCCAAAGAACAGAAGAGTTTGTGCAGGTTCAGGAGTGTGTGGAACTATGGTCGCTGCTGCTTCTAAAATGGACATTGTATATTGCAGAAGCTCTTAAATTACCTGTGAAACTATAAAAAACAAGCTAGGCTGAAAATTGTCATTCTTCCTTTTGAATAATGCATATACTGCTCTTGTCATATTACAGTGGAATGTACTTTTATTTTTAAATCTGGTAGCAAAAGCTACTTCACTTTGGTTGAATTGTCATCTTTTGGTTCATTTCACTGCAATAAAAATGAGACTTTTGATCTAGATATAAAAACAAGATTTCCAAATGGTAGCAAGTAACAGCCTCCTTTACTGATTACTTTAAAATAAGGACAAGGCATTTCAACTATTCACAAATATTTCTGACATATTACAAAGTAATGTAAGAAAAAAGTTTATGATCATATTTGAAGCAAAATAGTTAAAAAACGTTTACAAATGCATTGTTTTTTTCCTTTTCAAAATGTTTCTGGATACAGTTTTGCAGGAGACTTATCTGTTTGGTCAAATAAACTTCTCCTATACATACTGGGCTTTGCCCTAGGGGACAAATAATTGAAAAAATATTTTCAAAACAGTATTTTTTCAGAAACAGAGGTTTGGAATATTACCTCTTAATGTCTTGCAATTTTGTCTCTGTGGACTTTGTGCAAGCCTGAACATTATTTTTTTTAAAAATTATGGTTATATAACATTACATGAAGCTGATATTTATTTTACATTGTATTTAAGTATTTAAAAGATCTGAGAGCTCTTTCTTCTATATACACATTTTTTGAAGCTATAAGGCTACACCACTAACAACTTTTAATTACTTCTTTGTCATTTTCTCAAATGTTACAATTACTTTGTCAAATTTAGAATTGTTAGCAGCAATGATGATGATGATCCTCATTTAAAAAATCCCAAACCAAACAGAAGAATTCCCTGGGAAACTGCACACCACATGCATGACACATAACTAAAAAATTAGTCCAAAGTTCTGATAAATATTTAGTTCCAGCTAGAGCTGAGAGTTGTTCGAATGAATAAAAATGTTTATTATGTACAGGAGAGTTGGATGGAATATGGACATTTGACAAAGATCACTCAAGGCATTTCACGGTCTGAACTGTTCCTACAGCATTAATGCAGCCGCCCTGTTTGCTTATGTGTAGGTTTGTACCACCTGTGGGAAGGGAACCTTCCTGGTAGCGACAACAGGCTCAGTCTTACAAGACGTGAGTATCTTCTCCAGGCTGCTCCATCTTCACCTGAACCAGGAGCTTCCTGCAGGACCGAGAGCCCTTTAGGGCTTGCTCCTGAGCTAAATGCAAACTTGTACAGCATTATCAGATGCCACTTTACATCAGGCAGGGGTTTGGTCTTTTGCCTTCAGCATATTACAACATGAAAAACTGCACCAGCATTTTTCAGTGAGCACCATTGACTGACTTTGGTAACGTATCTATTGGCACGACCAGCGGGATCAAAGGATATGCTGAACTCTTGTCTGGTACAATAAGAGAGCACAGCTGACAATTACCTTGCAACTAGAGTCCGTAAATATTAAAAACATAAATATGTTACCAACCATACACATATACACAAAACACAGCAGTGGCAATATTACAGGACGCAGCGCCTACGCTATATAACTGCTTTTGTTAATGCAGATGCAACACCAAAATAAATGCTTTTTAATATGAAGCAAACCCTTCTTCAGAGGTCAGTGGCAGTAAGCCACAGTTCAGAGCCAGGCTTCTGCTAATCTGAGGTGACTCTGAAGGTGGAGGAATCCCATTGTCTATCAAATCTAATCAATGAAAGAGCAGCACAATGGGAAGATAGTTATCAGTTAACACTAAAACTTTCTGAGCTGGAGCTTTGTTTTGCCACCATTTGTAATTAATTCTCCCTTTTTCACAAATGCTTTGTGTGAGCCCTCAACAGGCTTAGCAGGAGATAAAGTTATTACATACAAGATACAATTTAGGGGTAAGGATTAATAGAAACAACCAGCATGGGATTGGAGTTCCTGAATCCTGGGAGGTGCTCTCCTTGTTAAGTGAAGTTTCAGTGAGATTGCCCTTCGCAGACCACTAAGAAGTTGTCACTCTTCAACTTTTTCATCTTTTTTGTGCAGTTCTGTTTCAAAGCTTGGTAAGAATAGCACGAGAAGGGCTAGAGGAGATGACTCTGCTGCTCCACTGGCTTTGCTAATGCTCTTCAGAGCAGCGTCCTCTCCTCAAGATCACGTCATCTAGTCCAATATCCCCAGTTCCTCCTTTCCCTTTCTCCCCTCTGAAGATAACCTGGGAAGAGAAATAGAATTATTTGAGTGCAAAAATAAAGTAAAATGAGAGAGGCTTTGGTTGAGAGAGGTCTCAACAGTAAGAAAGCAAAAGCATAAGAAAATTCAGGCACAAAAGCTATTTATTCTGCTCAGAAATACGTTTTTCTACTTCTGATCCTCTCCCTTCTTCACTTTGTGAAGAACCAGCAAAAAGTGAAGAACCAGCAGTTCAGGACAGAGTTGCTCCAGCTGCACCATCTGCTGAGGTAAGATGAACTTCCAGGTAAGGGAATCTCAAGCGCTTCCTACATATCATCTCTGCACCGTTTTGATTGTCCCTCATGGCAAACACAAAATCCTCTGTATTCTGAAAATAGTTGTCTATTTAATAGAGGAGCTTTCCATTGGTAAAGCACTTTGCAGCTGCGTTAGTTGTGGGAACTAGAAAATCCATCTTTTATTTTAAAAATTCTGGCTCCTGTAGACTCCTGGTAATCTCTAAAGTGCTGACTCCTCACAAAATGGCAGCAGAACTCTGGGCATGGATATAAGCAGCTCATTAGCAGTTCTAGATTTAGCCTGAGTAGCACAAATTCAACAAATACAAAGCTTGACAAGAAAGACTGGAGCATAAATCAGAGATGACATAAAGAATGGCCAGCTGACTTTAAGAAACACTTCTTATAAATCAGTATTGCCCACTTGTGCTACTGCTGTAGATTCAGAAGCCTCAACTGTTTAATACGGTCAGTGGTTTTGACCATGGCTTAAAAATTATTCAAAGCCTACATTGTTTAAGAGTCTGCTGTTATGACTGAGCTGGAAAGAGTTAATACAGATTCATAGATCAGAAATACCTTTTTACTAGATGGCTGTCTAGTAAAAAATAATGTGGATGCTTGCTGAAAGCACACTTTCAAATAGGGAATAGGAACAGAGGAGGTCAGAGAAATTCTATGTTGAATATACTGAAATTTTTTCAGAAATAAAAGAATTCAGAAATTTTTTTTTATTCAACTCTATGTTGAATAAATGAATTTTATTTTTTTTTTAGAGATGAGTGATTTTGGGTGTGCTTTAGAAATAATTTACATAGAGCTAATTAGAAAGTGTGATGAAGGATTCTGGTCTCCATTCATATTCTTCTCAGGTTACCAGTAGGGCCGCCCTAAAATCACTAGTGTTTAGTTGCTTTTGGTTTTTAATTAGCTAGAAAATAAAGCTTCCCTATTTCTTCCCGATTTCTCTGTGGCAGAGGCCTTCCCTGCTTACCTAGAGTCTTCTCTCATGCCCTGATCCTTGGAAAAAATGTCACAGTGGTTCAGGTCAGCAGCCTGGGCTCCCCATGCTGGCTGGAAAGGTCCCGAACTCGCCTGTTTGGTGAGGTGCCATGAGGCAGCTCTGGTCTGTGGCCCGGTGATCAGTTACCACGGGCAAGCCACACTCACAGCTACTGCTGAGGTGGTCAAGAGAGGCAGGGGACAGTGCACAGAGGGCCTGCTGGTCCTGTTTGCCCTCTCTAAAACTCCTTTGCTTTTCTGCCAGACAATATGTTAGTGATACACAGTTATTCAGTAAACTGCTCTGTGAGACAGAACCTGAGGATTGTGAGAGTGTTCATCTTGGTGGAAAAGGGTAAGAATGGGGGCAAATATATTGTTCACCTGCTGTAAACTTCCACGCTTTCAGTCTGATTTTCATTTACAGCTAACAAGGACAAGCATCTTTGTTACTTTTGCCAAGGTAAAGTTTTCAAAAAAATAACTGCAGTAATTACAGCCTTAATATTAATGTTAGAACCATATACTGTGTCTGTGTGTTGCAGCCTGCTCCCACCATGAACATTATGATGTGTGAGCTTTTTTTAGACCACCTGATATAAGTCAGAGCAAAACAGGCCCTGAAGCACCCAAGCCCCTTCTTCAGATCTGAAATAGAAACTACCTTCAAAGCTAAGCAGAGGTTGAAGAAATCCTAAGCTTTTTATATAGCAGTTTATGACCCGGTGTTTCTAAGATTTCCAGGTATTAAAAGATTCTCCATGGCACTTCAGACAGCTTCTTTTGATTGCACTGAGCCATTTTGTGTTACTGGCATAGTCTGGTCATCATCTACCTCCTCGTCCAGATCAGCTCTAGGTATGCTGAAGAGCATAAAGCCTTGTGAGATTGCACATGTAACCTCCCCACATTATCAAAACCAACTTACTTTCAATACCTTTGCCCAGGTTTAGCCAGTTATTAATCCACTAGGGATGATTCTTCTAATTCATGGCACTGTATTATTTTAAAGCATTATATGAAAGCCTTTTGGAAATCCACATACAGTATATGCCATTGTCCAGTAGACTGCTCTTTCCTAGGGTGATTCCCTGAAAACGGGCACTACGAGGTAGCTCAGTACAGGCTATTTTGTCATTTCCTATTGTCTGTTGCTGTAGGTGGGGTTTTTTGCAAAAAACTAATTTGACAAGATGCACAATGACTCTCTTATCCTTAATGTGATTCCATTGGCAGGGATGAAAGAAGTAAAACACAGGCTGAAATTAGACCTAGAAGACAAACAGTCCAGTGCTACACCACCCAAGTGTCTTCAGGTTTTCATGCAAAAAACCAGAAGGCAGCACACCCATCGGTACTTACACTCTTGATGCCTAGTCCTTGTAAAGTTATGTGTGTCTGTCTCCAGCCATGGCCACCATTTCTTCCCCAAACAGCTGGTCCATGAGCACCATTTTTTCTTACAAAGACTTGGAGGGCACCAGAATGCCGTCCAGGCACCTTGTGTCTAAACGACAGGCACAAGTCGCTGGCCTGAGCCATGTGCCCCAGCGGCAGGATTAGATGCGCTGCTCTTCCTTCTTTGCCTTTGGGCTCAGAGATGGTAAGATACTGTCCCCCTGCAAAAGAAAAAGCATTTAGGTTTGGTTTTTCTTTTTCTTAAATTCAATTATGTTGCTGGACCAAATGCACAAGAGTAATTAAAAAAAATCAAAACATATAAAAGAGCTCCACAAGGTCCAGTGAGCCTTCAATAAAGCATGTAGTTGCTGGAATGTGAGCCAGAACTGGTGCATCTGCCTCCTGCAGGGTAGGATTTATAGTGCTGGTCTTCTGTTTGCAGTAGCACCAGGTTAGGTCTTGACCACCTAATTTCTTTTTTACAAATCAAGTAATACCTCTTTTGAAAATGAAAATTTCATGTATTCCTTCATTTCTGCCAGCATGACTTTAAACCCACAGTGGATGTACATTTACACTGTAAAGTGCACGTAAGCTGCAGTTATTTGCTATGGGATGGGTGAGTGAGAAGGCCAACATAAATGTTACTGTGTCATTGAGCTACGGGTCTGTCCCTTTCCTTTGCTTTGGGAACTGTGTTCACAGGTTAGGTCTCAAAGCATATCCATTTGCAAACACAGATAGCCTTTTTATTTGACTATAATTTAAACTTTTAATCTAGATTACATACAGATATCTAGAAACAGTAATGATTTCCAAATGGCTGTTAACTTGATACACTCCCAGATGCCTTCTTGAACAGTAGTAAGTTGTCAGTGAACACAGGTATTTAATTCAAAACCTTATTATCATCTCTGATCATGTATGAAGTAAAGGTGCCTTCATAAAAACACCTCAAACATAAAAAGTAGAGGCTCTCAGGTACGACAACATCCATTAAACCCCCCCCCAAAAAGGTGTACACTTCCATGAGTCCCACACACCCTTTCACATAGGCACTCAAAGCTACAATACATGAGACCTCACATCTTGGAGAAAACCCAACCTGTATTTTTTTCTTTCTACTTTTCTTTAAAACCTTTGCAAGGCAGATGATAACTTTAAGATCTGAAATGACCAAAGGGAGGAGGGTTCACTTTTAAAAAATAAAAATAATTTTAAAAAATTCTTGTCTTACTCTTAACCTAATAATCTTTTTTTTTTTTTTTCCAAATGAGATCAGATTTTTTAAATCTTTTTTTTAATCAAACAATCCAAGTTCAATGAACTTAATATAAAGGTGGCATTTAGGCTCCTTAGTTGAAACCAATGATGTCGAAATAGTGGAGGTATGTAATATTGCTGACGTGCACAGCCTTTACGTAATTATAGAACAGAAAAGTATTTTTAATTCAAATTGTCTCCCTGCTACTACTCAACCAGAGCTTTATTTTTTGAAAGTTTCTTTTTGAAAGCCACAATTATTTCCCTCAAAAGCTGAGATGTTTAATGACAATATACCAGGGCTTGTCACGCACTTACTTAAAAGGAAAGCCAACCTTTTCTCCAACTCACTACTTCAACATAGGTATTTCAGTTCTTTGGTCTCAACGAGATTTAACAAAGCCAAGTACTATGCTGCTGTCTGGGGCCCCAGACCTGCATTTGGGCATGAAGTGGGATCCATTTGTCCAGGGATCTGTTAAAGTGGGGTTTTTTTTGGTTGGTTTGGGTTTTTTTTAATGTATTGGTTTTGCATCAAGGTAACTAACTGCTAAAATAAGCATAATAGAGTTCAAATAACTGCACCCGTTTATTGTAGGTACAATTATATCATTATAGAAGTACTGACTTGACTCATTAACTGCATCTGTTTCAGATAGTTACAGTGACTGAATCCAATCAACAGGAAACAGATTCAGGTAAGCACAAAGTCAATGTATCTGTAGGCAAGCCCCTGCAGGAAAAGGTCCCCTCAAATCAGCATTTTCTGCATGCAAGATAAGCTTATAAAGCTTCAGCCTGGCACCTTTCAAAATGCAAATTCTGGTAAACCAATAAAATAGCAAACTGTGAAAGGTGAAAGCAAACACTCAGGAACAAGCTGTGAAAATAAATCCTTGCAACACAGTATTTCAAACAGGAGGGAGTGGTTAGGTGACTTCAAGGGACTAGTTTTAACAGGTTATGTAAACAGCAGCAGAACCTACACAGGAAACAAAAATCTGACGTTGTCCCTGACTGGGAAGCAGTGCAGGAGGAAAAAAAAAAAAGTAAAAAAAATAAAATAGCCAGTTAAAAATCATAGTTCTGGAACTTACTTAATAGTTATTAATAACAAGCTTTGAGTACAGATAATGAATGTGCTTTGACTGACTTACATTCCCAGAAACAAAGCATTTTGAAGATGTTTGAATTATGTGTGATCTTTTTTAAAATGCCAGTCTGCAAGCAGGAGACAGCTCCCTCTTTTCTCATTTGCAAGTGGAAGGAGCTCTGCTCTCCCGAGTCATTCGTGAGACTTTTCAAGTATGGTAAGGAGCATATGAAATACTAGAGCATGCCTGCGGGTGGGGAGGGGCCTGCCCAGAAAGCGAAGGTGGCACTCCCACCTCGCCAGCTCAACAGCCTGAAAGAGGCGCCAGGCCACCTGCTGCGGTGGCAAATGACTGTCTGGTCCATGGCAGTGTAGGGACAGACACCTCTGAGGTGGTGCGCAAGGAAAATGGCTCTCGGTGCCCTCACCCTCCCTCAACTTAACCTATACTATTTCACTGCCTGAGAGCGCGTTTCCTTCCCAGGTCTGCTGTCCCCTCACATAATGTCAGCATTGTGCACTTCAAAGGCTGCTCTTCTGGGGATGAAGTAATCCCATCATTACGGGAGCCGAGATCTGTGTCTAATCCCCAGCGCTGTGGGGCGAGCACTGCCAGGGGAAGGGTAGGCAGGCAGGGCCAGCCTCTCACTGCCACACAGTAAATTCAACAGGGACAAAACACAACTGAGTTCCAGCACTGCAGGTGTGCGGTTCTGCTGGGACTACAGCGGGGGTGTGGGAGGGGTTGCTGCCTTGGCTGACCACCGGTGCCCATGCTGGTCTTCCCCTACCCTGCAAGTGGCTAGTGCACTCTCCCCTCTAATATTCATTGCCAGGTCATTTTTACCATCCCCAACATACCCATTTTCAGAAGTCTCTGCATACAAGCACCTAACTTGTCTTCCTTCCAGTTCCTTAACAGCTTTCCTACACACAGGTTGCTGTAACTTAGGACAGAATTCAATAAAAATCAAACTGAGAGGTTAAACTAGAACATGGTACTTGGCAGCAGAACAAAGACTATTTCCAGCACTTTCTACAATTTTGCTATTAATATAGAAATAATTATGTTTGCGTGGTGGTTTGAAAAATAAGCTTTGTTTCACTATAAATAAAAGTTGTTCTCTAGGCCACATTTTTGTTCTTTCTGACTCTTTTAAGACAGATAATCTGTTACTGAACACATTTACTACTCCTTCAGAGACATTCCTATTGTAAAGATAGCAGCTGTGATAAAAGTGCAAATTCTCAGTTGCGCTTTCATGTTGGGAATCCTCGGTTTTGATTTTTACACTCAGAAGAGGTGTGGGTGTGAAATATATCCCAGAACTAAAGAGAACAGAACCTGTGTAAATTCATCACAATGTGAGAACTGTCATCAACCTCAAGCCTGGGTGGCTTTTCAACTACAGGATGCAATTGTACACAGGTACCTTACCTGATGCATCTCTCACTGGTTCCCAGTGCAAGTCATCATCTTTGTCCTTGATCCATCCACACAGTCCACTATCAAAATTACAGCTGTGTACCAGCGCACCTGGGCAGAGCAGAACAGCAGATTTTAAAAATAAAATTTAAAAAGTGGATTGTTTTGTTGGAGAACTACAGCAATTTCCCTTGTGGCTGACACTAGCAAATAAATATGAAAATTAAATGCAGCAGCAGGAACACTAGAAAAAGAATGTACAAAAATACTAAACCAATAAAAAGGATGCTAGGGTTATTATTAACAATTCACACTATTTTTGTGCTAAATCTGTTAGGAAATTAAACTATAAAGGCTCACTTAAGTGGTGGCTTTTTTTCTTTTTACAAAGCATAATTTAAACAAGGGGCATAAGATGTAAGTGTCCTGTAAAAATGTATAAAAACCCGAGAAATCTCTAAAAACCTTAAACCTTAGGCCTTGGAAAAGGAGACATGATCTTTACCTGGGTCATCGTTTGCTTCAAATTCATCAGCAGTAATCCCTCTTTCAATTTCAAGTATTTCAAACAGATTATTGCTCACTCCAGGCTGGCGTGGAACTGTGAGAAAAGTAGTTTTTCAGAAATGAATGAGATAAAGGTAGTTAGTGACCTACTTCCTTATCTTTAATAAAAAACAGCAGAGCAGCTCTGGGCATTGTGCTTTTCTTGGAGAATTCAATACATTTAATTATATTTGACATGAAGATTCATAAATTTTATGTCTCCTTGATTTATGGATTATGTTGTAACATTTATCTGAGCACTGTAAAAGGTGATTCCAAATCTGCTAAAGGCTCTTCAAATCAAAGCTCTTTTTTAACCATGAAAAAAAGAGAGAAGCTTTAACCTTGGAGCACACTGTTCCCCTTCAAATGCACTTTTAAAGATGGTGGTTTCTCAATAAACTAAAGCCACATTAAAGCCTTTGCTCAAACTTTCTGATCCACTCGCCTTCCACAGGTGTTTAGAGGAGAATCTCAACAGGAGGCAGCGGCACTTGGAAGAGGCCCCACCCAGCCTTCGAAACACAGCCGAGGGTACATGATCTGTCTGCGAAGGGTTAGAGCTCCCTAAACCATTACCAGGATTGGACTGAGGTGAGAGGGAGGAGCTCTAATGGAGGCTGGAATTCAACTGTAATTACACTTTTTGCTTTCCAACAGTCTGCCCTTCAGCTGCTGTTCTCAGCTGCAAGAAGGAACACTTGACGATTAACGGGTGCAGAGGTTAGTAGACATTCAGCAGCCAGGACAACCTGAAATTTAAGAGGTCTTTGTGGAATGATGGCTGCCAAAGCCAGGTGGCTACAAAGAGATCCACTTACTTCTTTTGCTCTTCCAGTCTGTATAAGTCTCCAGGAGTAACACTATGTCATGCCTGATGGACAGCTGTCAACTAGAGATACACAGCTTGCACTGCTTAGAGCTGTCTTGGAAATTCCTCTTTTAGAGGCAGGTCTAGCACACAATTAATAACAGCAGTAATATGTTTCAGACATGTCCTTAGATGTTACAGACACCTCTGACACCCACGGTATTTGTAAGGGCCTTATCTATCAAAAGCTTGACACATTTTCCATAAAATAAAGTATCTTAATGCCACTGTAAGCTTCTTCAGCAAGTGAGAACAAGAAGAATTGAGATGATTTACAATTCTAAACTGAAATAAAGGACTGTTGTTTTTAGGAAATCAAACCAAAGGTAAGAAGGAACCTGTTTTCCAGTAGGACAACATGTAAATAGCACTGCTGCAAGAGCTCCTCTAAAGCCAGAAGACACAGGAAAATGAAAAATAAAAATGAAGTTGCTTCCTGCTTTTTGGAATTAGGACAAAATAAGCAGTCTCATAAAAGGTCAACCAAATGCTAATGTATTTTAAAAGTAATATTACAGGCTACAGATCTTGGATGTAAATTTTTTATAATAAAAATAAATAAAAAAAAAAGCTTGAAGTCTGCAGGAAGCTGATTAACTACTTAATATCATAGTAATTTTTTGAATCATTATGTCTCCTCTGGTTTTTGGGTTTTTTTAATCCTTTATAGATTTTGGATTATGTCTATTTGCAGTCTAGGACATTAGTGCCCAAACAGCCTCAAGGACATTAGGTTGGCTTGGCCTGTTAATTTTTAAGGATGCATTGTTTGTAATAATATTTTCTCTGCTTTGTTTAATCTGGTTTTTTGCTTACGTGATTAGAATTGTGAGATTTAACACAAAAGAAACCTTACAGTGTGCACAGCCCACAGCACCGAGGCCAATAATCACCCTGCACTACATTTATGCACAAACACTATATTCAATTATGTAAAAAAAAAAAATCTGTTTACCTCAGGCAGCCGAAAATCAAACCAGGAATGCTCAAAAACCATCGTTCACCCCTAATCCCTCCCAGCAGTATATGCCCGTCCTTCCTCAGAGCTCCATCTAAGGTGTAGGCGGGACAGTGGACCAAGCACATGGCACAGCTACAGGCACACCCGCACGGGGGTGCGTAGGGCGGTATGAGCTGCTCTGATGTGTACCAGCATACACACTCTTACACTGCTCTAGCTGCATCACAGCCTGGGACAGCCAGGAGCAGTAGCTGATGGAGCAGGTACGTGTGTGAACGCTCTACGTGTGCCCAGACCCTGCCGCTGTGGAACACACAGCAGCTACTGGCACCATTTAAACTCAGCTGCAGTGGTTTTGCTCAGGGATGTTAAAACCTGGTAATGCGGTATCTTGGGCTTCCTGTGACCAACCACCTGGGGCAGCAAATGTGGCAGGATATTTACTTAGTAAGCCTGCTAAACTATCAGCATCCTGTTAGCGTGCTACCGGCATTTCTGCCAGGACATGCTCTCCTGCAATTTCGCCTTCAATAAGCCCTCACAGTGGAGTGTCGCCTCACATTACAACCACGCTGCAGGCTGCTGCTCCCTGTGGAATGCAGCAGTCCCCACGCATGAGACATCGACGCTGCATCCCCAGGGATTATCACCTTGCCTTTCCTCTGCTCGGACTGTGCTAAGGAAAAAAGATACTCTTCATTTCCTACATGATGAAGAACAAGTTGGCAATTTGCTTCAAAACTGCTGAGCGCAGCGTGCATACGTACTGGTGCTAGTCTGGAATGGACACACGGCCTTTTCTCAAAGTATCTTTAGATCTGACACATCCTGGGGCACAGGGATGAAAAGAGGCCAGCCCACGGGAGCAGATGGAAAAGCAAGCTTCCCCCTCCCTGTGCTTCAGGAGGACCCCAGCCTGCGAGGAACCTCACAGTGCCATCACCCTCAGGCCCCCACGCACCCACCAGCGATGGGGTGCCCACATCCTCTTCTCATCTACCTTAACACTCTCTACCTCAATACCTTCCTGTTCTTCCCCTCTGCCTTTCTCAGGGACCAAACGCTCATACCACAGTCCCACAGGAAATTAACAGGGCTCTGAATGAACTCTGTGGCAGAGAACATTGAGGAAACTCACTGCCGTGCTCTAAGATTTCTAGGATACTCAGAGGTCACGATCTCAAGGTCTGTACTTGCCCTGTGGATCCCCTTCCCAGTCCCCCATGGCCCTTGTTTATGGAGAATACTGCAGGAAACATTAGGAATTTATTTTCCAAACCACTTCTGTTTACTTACTAAAATATCATTTCTAATGCAGTTCTTTTATACAAATCTGAGTGACATCTGTGCACACATACAAGCATTCTCTAAATTAAAGTTGATGTATTTGCCTGTAATTAAAGCTCTACAAAAAAATAATTCTTCAAAACTTTTCTCTAAAGTTGTCTCCAAACCCTGCTGTTATGAACTTCTAGAAGAACGTGCTGCAGAGCTTTAAACAGTCACTTCAGTGCTCGGACCTAATTAGAGGAATGTGCACTCAATACAAAACAAGAGTTACCATAAGAGATGCAGGACTCTAAATATGATCCATGTGTACACTTCTTCTTGCTACGACAATTAATAAGTTGAGTGGTGATCGTGGGAGAAAGTATTTGGCACAATTATTTTCTGCAAGCTTTCCAAGCCCTTTCTGTGTACTTTATATAGCGTATCAGTGTGCTTTTCACTTAACTTCAATGGTTTGATAACGTTTGTTAAATATAAACTTGGCTTCTTTTTCTTGGAGAATTTTATAAGCTCTGAGTGAGCCAATACATCAACACTACCATATTCTCAAAGTTCACTAGCTAAGTTCTTCATAGATGCTTAAATGTGTGGGGGGGGAACATTTAATAACTGCATAAGACTGATTTATTTTCAGCTGTTTAATCCTTTGGGAAAACAGTAGGACTTTTTTTTTTTTTCATTTACTTGATAATTACTAAGTTTAGGAGTATAAGAGATGGTGTGTACATATGTTATTTGTAATTAGAGAATAATCACTGTTTTGGTGTTACAAAACCCAAAATAAAACATGGAGTGCAGCTTCATGTTATCAGCAATTGTTATGACTATTAATAATGCAGTGTTCTGCCTTACAACAAACACGGAGTTCTTATGCAATTCCATTCCACACTAATCATGACCAAGCTTCCCATTTGTTACAAACAAACAACAACAAAAAAGGACAAAAAATTTTTGACTGCATAGTTACGATTGAAAGTTGTTGAAATCTACTTCCAAAAAATACCCCACAAGTGATGAGATCTCATGCAGAACTAGTAGAAAACAGCTAAAAGGAAGGGTACTCCAGAGGTCAGTCAGACTTGGGAAACAAGGATATGTCCTGTTTTCCTCCAGGGAAGACTTTGATATATGCTGGGCTAAAAAGAAGGGGCAACAGAGATGTACACTTCACGCTTTTATCTGGGTACCCACTGTGTCCAGGATATGTTGCCTAAAACTCCCCAGACTCAAAAATTTTGCAGTGAGAATTATTTCGGGAAGGGCTTTCATTGACTGTCCCACCCACTACAGCACCATTGGCATAAGAGGGGAGAGATGGTGCTAGACCCCGCTGAAGTCCAATCCTGCATTTCTCGGGCAGTTACAAGGCTCATTAACTTTGACCTAAATCAAACATCACATTATATATCTTTCCAGAAGATTTTATAAAAAGTAACCTGCCTGCTTTTCTATGAGTGGCTATTCAGGAGGTACAGAGTGGCAACCGAGTTTCAGGGAAACACGGCTAAATAAGTAGCCTACAGAAGCTGGCATATCAGATCTGGGGATAAAACCGTGTGATTTGTAAAACCAGATCTTAGGATTTAGCTCTAGAGTACAAACAGAAACAAAGTGCCTATCTTAAATACTTAAATATGACGACAAATACATTCAAATAGGTGCCAGAACAGTGAAGACAATTAAAATGCTACTGTAAAATGATGCTACTCTAATGATATCAAGGAATTAAAAAAAACACATTCTTTGCTTTTAGCATTTCCTATTTTTCAAAAGCTTCAAGGATCACATAATTACATCTACTGCACTAAGAACTTTTCAGACATTGAAAGAGGGAGCAGAAAGAATCAAGTTTTAATCCAATCTTTAAAATTTTTAACAGCTGCTATGAGAAGTCTCCTAATTCCAATCTTTTCATCTCCACTAAGGGCTATGAAGGAAAATTGCTGAACTACCTTTTAATACAGAAAAGGGGTTTTCTTCTTGCTCTGCTGATATCTAGTATTATGCTTTGTCTTTAAACTTATGTAGATCCCAATGGTGGCAGAAATTCATAGTCTCATTGAGCAGTTTGTTATATTTGTTAGAGACTTTATCCATCTGAGTAACCAGAAAAGATTCCTCTGTACTTCACTGTAGTTTGTATCAGTCCTGAAACAGTTAAATATTAAGCCATTGCTGCATTCCTCCCTCATTGCCATTCCCCCTATATCCATATCAGGAGAAGATTATCCTTGGTGCCAGATTCCACTGTCTGCATCTGACTAAGTGGTTCAAAGGCCAAGTGTAGGAATTCGATTTTTAAAAAACACTCTTTTTTTTGTTCTCTGAAAAAGCAGCTCCCCAAAGTCACTGCAGGCATTTTTAGAAAAGGTGTAAAGCATCTAAAGAAAAGCCACAACCCAATACCTTTCAAAAATTGCAAAGGCATTAAATAACATTATCAGCATTATTATAATTTGTGCTCTTTGTCATCACTGAACAGACCAATTTCACTGGTTCTCAGCTGATTTCAAGCTGAGCAGCACATTCAAGAGTGCTCTGAAGTGAAAACTTAAGGCAAGTTTACTCAGTGTGTGGGATGGCAGGTCAAGTAACAATTAAAGGAGAAAATAGGGAGCACCAAGTCACCAAAGGTAAGCTCAGGAAAAGGTTAAATAATGGAAAATTAAAATTTGAGAGATGCTCGCAGAAAAAAAGTACACTTGCCCAGGCACGTTTCCTCTCATGATGTGGACCAGTCCTAGACCACTACTCTGTTTGCAGGATCTGGTCTAGTGCACTAGGACATCTATCAGCGTAGAGCGCACCAACTACCCCTTTGCCAGGCACGGGTTGCCCAGCTGAAGTACCACCTACTCAGATGGTCAAGCAAAGCAGCATTTACTATCATGCTGCTTTGTCAAAGTCTGGCTAAGGCTTCAGAGCCTGAGGGGGAAAAAAGGACGGAAAAGTCCATGCATCACAATAACCTAGTTTAAAGGCACTTTAAAAATTGAGGCCTTCAGCAGATGCTATGGGCTGGAAGATCAGAATCGAGGGTGGCTGGCTACAGTGCTCTCTGTGCTGGGTTTCGCCCATCCTTACGTGATAAAACACTACCTTTTGTGACTCTCTGGGATACAAGAACCCTTGGCGACACACAAGGAAGCAACCATCTAAGAAGACACTGTAACTCTTCTGAAGACTTTACAAAACTGAAGTTAAGTCCTACTTCATGATCTGAGTGGATCTAACATCAATTTCCTCCTCTGTTTCCCAGACAATGAGTGCTATAAGATGACTGAATTGCTGCCTGCATTCTCCCATGGGAAACAAATAAAGGCAGCAAGAGCGAGGCTCTCTCTTCTCTTTTCAGGCAGGCATGGGGACCACAGTGCAAATTCATTTTTGAGAACGAGCTTTTTTGCTGCCTCAACTGGACAAACGGGTGCTGTGGGGAAATGAACCTAAAAGAGGCTCAGTATAAGCCAAAAGAAATCAGCTCTTATCCACAACCCAAGAACACTGTAAATAAAAAAAATAAATGCCTCTGGATAGATTGTGGAAGAGGACACCAGTGACCACTACCTAGGTACTTTCAAAGTGGGCAGAGAAAAGACAGAAAAAAAGAGCAGAAAGGAGAGAAAAAGAGATAAAAGAGAGGAGGAAAGACGCTAGCTTCATTAAGGATCACACTACTAGCACCAAGCCAACTCCTACCACACAGGTGGAGTATGCCTTCACACAGTTATGTCACACATAGATATATATACATCAAGTGTCTCTTTAGCAGGGCATAGAAGAAATAATATGGGATTAAAGACACATATCTATTGACTTCATCTGAGGAGCCACCTGCCCCTGTATTAACTGCTAAGGCCAGTAACAATTGCTGGTGCCTGACCTGTTGGAACCCTGCTGTATTGCACACTGAAGCCTTTGAAGCGATGTATGTGTATCACAAACCTCAAAGGGTGGCAGCTGATCTAAATAGCTGATCAACACTTTGCAAAGATCATTTTTTCCCATGTTTGTTACATGTACCATAAGGTGAGCTTAGAGTTGTAAAAGAAAAGACTTTTACTTTCCTACTTTCCAAACCATTGTATCTGAAGCATACATATTGAAAGTATTAGCTTCAAAATCTAGCCTCTAGGGAGAACACAGAAAGACTAATTGCAAATGATAAGCTTTGTACAGATGATTGTTATGACTTTGTGAAAATAGCCAAAAACTATCCCTCTGCTTTAGAATTCCAGAGAACACTTGCCACATGAGACACTTGGGAAGCACAATGTTAGAGTCTAGAATAATTTCCATAGAATTCTGTATTTTTAACTATTGGTTCCCATTATATTAAATTTGGGAGTCTTTACTATATTCCTTTTTAGAATTTTACATAAAAATGTTTTTAGATTTTTAACTGAATATAGACTGTTTAAAAAAATACCCTTGAAAAAGCCAAAAGCACACTCCTCTGAGTAGTATCAAGATTTATCTTCCTAAATTCTAAATTAGCTTTTGTCTCTATTTTAAATTTATCAAACTGTTAAAATGTCAACAGGGAAAACAAACCATTTTTTACAAGGAACAAAATATTTCACTGCATAATGACCTAAGAGAACACAGCCCAAGAAGTTACCACACAGATGCCAAAGAACCCAGAAAAAAGCTGCCACGTTGCTTACACCCCTGCTCTGAGACAGCAAACTGTTCCTCCTACTACATTGCCTCAGCAGCGTTTTTTGTAGCTCAAGCTGAAGGAGAAGGGCTGATCCAGCACACTCTCCAGGGCTGATCACCCCTGCTCTGAGACAGCAAACTGTTCCTCCTACTACATTGCCTCAGCAGCGTTTAGGGCTGATCCAGCACACTCTCCAGGGCTGATCCAGCACACTCTCCAGGGCTGATCCAGCACACCCTCCCCGTCTCTAAAATTAGCGGCAGAACTAAAGATTAAATCGGGTGTTGAGCATTTCTTGGCAGACACACCTACGTCTGCATGTGCCAGTAATGTCTTGTGTGGCATGCACTAAAGCTGGCGTAGAAATGGGGCTGCAGATTTCAGAGAAGCTCTTAAAATGACGTGTGCTCATGCTATGAGCATCTTTACTATCTTCAGCTTTTCACGTATCCATTTTCACAGACGCAATCTATAAAATTAGCCTCTAGGTTATTTTTATGCAATTTTCCCATTGCTTAGTCATAAACATCCAAGACTATTTGAATGCATACAACATAGGTGACATAAGAGTCTTTAGGTAATCAGACATGGTCCCATTTCTTACCATTCTTAAAGCTGTGGAAATACACTGTTTAAGGGTGACTCTCAACTCCCTGAATTTTAACCCATTGACCATCTATGAATTATGTTGCATTTCAATACTTTTCAATTAGATGTCTTTCATTTCTCCAAAACTTCTGTCTGAAGGCACCATTAGGTTAAGCACTTATACAGGATGATACACTCACAAATAATTTCAGGAAGAAAAGAAATGAAATTTTGGGTTGAACTGATTCAGAACTTCCTCCTCACATTTTTATTAGGTAATAAAATCTATTATTTGTGCAGCTTTGCCATATGACCATTTTCAGTTTCATGTCTTTGTTCTAATTGATAAAGTGCTCCAAAAAACCCAAACAGCACAGTGCCTGCTTTCACCTCACTGCATCTACAATTCTGATAAATGAAAGGGTATGTAAAATTACTTACTGAACACATCTCCTCGTGGTTTCTGAGGATCTAGATGGATCCTGTTGTCATGTGTAGTTCCCTGGGAAGATGTAGTTTCAGTGGGAACATGTGAAGGCTCTTCAGTTGTTATTAGAGGAGTTCTTTGTGGTGGTAGTGTAGGTCTTAATGTTGTAGGTTGAGGTGGTGTTGGAGGTGGAGGCCTCGTCACTGGCTTTGTTACTGGCCTTGTTGTCACTGGCACATATCTAGTGGTTGGCTTTGGTGTCAGTCGAGTTGTTGGCCTGGGTGTAGGACGAGTTGTTGGCCTGGCTGTAGGTCGAGTCGTTGGCCTCGTCACTGGCCTTTCTGTAACAACAGCAGGTACATATGGTGGTCTGAGGGGTTGCCTTGAGCCTCCAATTTCAGGAATCCTATTGATTATACCACTGCCTCCCTTAGGGAGTGTGCTGTTGCCCTTGAGTATATGATAAGGACCAGGTGGTTCAATCATAACATTAGGAATAACTGCAAAGAGAATCAAAATGGGACCAAAATGGACATCTGAGTCTCTCGCTGGAGAAACTTAACAATATATTTCATTATGACAGAGAGAGTCTTTGCTGAAATAATTTCTCTTCTTCTGAATGTTTCCACTAATTAGAAACATGCTTTAGCATCAGCACTGCTGAATTATCACATCCCTTTAGATAGTATTTCTCATTTCTCAAACAGCAGTTCAGAGATGATTTAGAATGACTGAAGGCCAAGAGACTTCCATACCCAACTCCTTCTAAGCATCAACTCTCTATCAGAGTTGGCAAAACTTACCCAAAAGCATTGTTATTAAAAAAACACAGACAGGAAGATGTGTGTTAAGCAGTTTGTACTCAGGAGTGGAGGAAAGCTTAGTAAGACTCCAATGTTACAACCATTTTGGTCAATGTTACAACCATTTTGGCAGATACCTTTGGCTTAAGAAAGTTACCTTTCACATCTCTTTACTACTTCTAAACTTTTCTCCTTGTCAATAAGCATTAATCATTTAATGGAGATTGAACTTAAGCCAATAGCCTTTATTTATACCTTTACCTTTACTAAACACCAGGAAACTAAGTAAATGGCATTTTTTTCAGCCTCCACAAAAAGGAGGTGAACTGAGCACCACCCACACCACTGTGACAGTGCTTACAGTACCATCTCCCCAAATACTTCATAAAGAAAGGACAACAAACTTTAACTTGGCTTCACAAGGGGAGTTTCTGCAGACATGAAACACAAGAACATCTGTTTTTTTATTTATAATTTTCTATTTGTTAATAAGCATTTTATATCTCACTGGAGATCTCAAAAGCCCCAATCAGAACACTAGTCATATATTTTGTCTACAAGTGTTTCAAGTATAATACAGTTAAAATGAAGAACTAGTGTTTGTTAAATGATTAATTGTTTGGTGTTAGCAGGTAAAAAGGTTTTTTCACTGGCCACCTCTTTATTACTATTCTTCTGAATACCCTGCAGTTTTTACATTATGGTATATTAAAATATAAAATATCAGGACTATGTCTCAGTGTAATACATGTGAAGTGTGTCCACATACAATTGCAAACACTCAGGTTGTAAAAGATCACCTTAGCCAGGCCACATTACCATGACAGCTACAGCCAAAGGCACTAAGTCTGCAACGGTACAGCTCTTTACAGAGATCAGTGAGTCACCAAACACCAGAACCCAAGTATGAACACAGGGTCCTTGAAAAGACTCAGATGTCAGAGAGCTGCACCTCTGAGGGATGTCAAATGTCGGAGAGCTCCAATGGCTTACTCTGTACCAAGGGGGATGGCTGCTTCTCCCAAAAGAAAGGTGAGGGAGGGAATTGTCTAACAGGGAATTCTTCCAGAGAAATCCTCTTTCTTGGCTCTGCTTGCGTCTGGGGAGCAGGGGGAAGTGGATAGGGGAGCTGCTGAAATGGGCCAATTGTGGAGTGTACATAATAAGAGGGTATGAGTAATATGTACTGTTAGACCAGACCTACCCTGCTTACTCAGTTGTTCTCATCCTGGAGCAATCTCTAGAATCAAGCTGTGAACAGGGAGAGGTGAATTTCTTTCTAATTATGAAAATGTCTCAGGGAGAGGTATTTTTACCAGAGCATGCTAAGACTCAGAAAACTCTGACTACATTCCCCGGCCCTTTATTAAGTATTAAAAATAGTTAAGAGAAACTGAGCCTGACAGTGCTGTATCTTAAAATTTACAACATGGGACACATTTAATTTCAGAATTCCTTTTTTAAAAGGATCATTACATACCTATGCAGTTTGTTCCATTGTCTCTGTACCCCTCTTTACACTTGCATTTGTAGGATCCTGGTGTATTGTAACATCGTGAAAAACTACCACAGTGATGGTGGCCAAGGGAACATTCATCTATATCTGCAACAGAAAGTTACATGAGAAAAAAACATTTACATCAAAGAAACTTGACTCTCTGCTTATCCCTGCAAAAACACAAACAGTAGTATGATCATCTGGAAAAAAATATTAATTTTAAAAAAATTAATAAAACTGAATTGCCAGTGGGAAAAAGAAGACTGACAGTCACAAGTCAATGCGGTGATACAAATGTTAGGGTAAAAGGAACTCTGGTATTGCTTAGCTTATACCTTAGCATCAGCTTCAATGATGTGCTGTGGGTAGATTGCAGTTGAGATCATGAAGATCACAATTTTAACAACCACTTCTTAAAGGTGATATGACAAGAAAAGAAAAACTGAGTGTATGAATATGCACGTTCTTAACCACACAGGTATTAACTGAATTTTTCATCAAATGCTTCCTCTATTGTACATCTCTCTAGATGTTTCTACATCAAGTAGGAACTTCTTGAAACATCTTATATAGCATTTCCATGTTTGTTATTAGTGATGCAAGCAAAAATCTCCAAATTCCAGTGCTCTGCATAGAAATTTATCTCCAAAAAATATACTTAAACAAACACAAAGCAATGCCTCATTGTCTCTACATGATCCTTATTTCAGTGAGAGGATCACAACCAGTCGAGGACCTGGGAAACTAAGACAGTGGGATCTGGGAACATCTTTGTCGAAGTGCATACAACAACTGCATTCTAGTCTCATGTCCAGACAAAGACGGGTTATTTCCCAATTCCTGCTTTTTCCCCACCTGTCTGCAGGAGAAGGAGAGTTGGGCAGCCTGGGTTGGAAGGAGCTGGGGTGTGCCCTAGTCACATTTTCTTATCTGGAATCTTGGGGTACGCTTCAGAGCACACCTGCATTACAGCTCAGACATAGCCTAAGCTCACACACTGCTCCACACCTACAATTGCCTGTGCACAGTGAAACCTCTGGGGACAAAAGCTTTGGAAAGGGATTCCTGGGCTCATCAGCTCTGCTCTCCCACTAGCTTCCAAAGGAAAACCAGTTACAAGAATGGGGGCCAAACATATGCTTTCTTTTTCACAGTCTATTTCTGTAATCCACCCTTTCCTAAAATACAGATGCAGTGCAACCTAAAACAACCTGCTTCCAAGCCATAAAAAATAAACATTCCACTTTAAACCATTAATTTCAGTTTACAATACACAACTCTATTACATGCACATAACAAATATGTTGTTGTTACCATGGCATTGGTATTTGCCTCCGATGTACATTAGATCAAAGCCTTTATGACACCTGCAAACGTAGCTTCCAAAAGTATTGACGCAGTGCCTAAATCGTGGACAGATAACTCTCCCAGTAGCACATTCATCAATATCTGTGGAAACAAAGGAACTGTATTATTCTTAATAGCAGTTAAAATACAATCTATACTATTAAATTAAGCTGGTTTTCACATAATTAAAAACTAAAGAAGAATAGCCAGGTATTTTTGATGAGGTCCTTTTGGCTACAAGCTGGTCAGCCAGCAGTAATACCTGAGCACTTCTGGCTGTGCCATCTTACTTCAGCTCCTGGTCACTCACTCAAATCTTCACACATCCTGCCAGAAGCCTTTACAAATACTGTGAGTGACAAGAGATGCAACGGCGTATTCAGCTCCTGGTCACTCACTCAAATCTTCACGACTCCTGTGCCAGAAGCCTTTACAAATGTTGTGAGTGACAAGAGATGCACCTGCATCACAAGCATTGCTACTGAATTTGGAATGCTTGCTCTATGCTCTTGCCATCCTACTATCCTCCTCCTTGGAGAGGAGATGTTCCCTAATTCCCCACATAACACACAACAGCTTCTTCAAGGCCTCAAAACACTCATCCTTAAAACTGTAATGGTATTTGTCTGAAGAAAAGCTATTTTGTGCTATTTGTAGAACTTGCTTTTGTCCCACTGGGTATAAAGAGAGCATCTGGATTTACAGGCAAGGAATAATAATAAAAACTAGTCCAGTAATTATTCTTCCAAAACATGCTTGAGTTATTGTTCCTGTTGCACAGGTCACATGTGTACATTCCAAGTACATCACCCTGCAGTAGGAAGTGGTTCTTTTTAAAAAAAAAATCTCAGGTGTCCCTAATCCATGATCTGCCCATTGAGCCTATCAGGAAATTTTCATCTGTTCAGGACACACTCTAAACAAAGAGAGTTCAAGCTAATACCGGGGGTGCAGTATTGCTGGTCTCCTACCAGTTAGTTACCACAGGCCAAATGCTTTTTGAGTGCCTGCTCTTTGCAGTCTCTTACCCTGCACAGTGCCTGCGCTGAAGCTGACCCTTCTTTCAGAGACCTTCTTTCAAGGTGACCTAAGTGACCTTAAAGTACCTCTGATGCGCTGAGATACATGGCTCCCATTTGCCCTGTCAGGAGCTCCCAGCAGGACCTGAAGCAGTGCTTCAGCAAGCAACATCCAGGCAAAGACAGAGGAGTGGGAAGACACGGGTGACGTTCAGTAAATGTCTGATGTCCCTCACCTCCCAGAAGCTGCTGTTCTTCACGCTGACTACCAAGCCAGGCAGAGGCCCAGGGAGCAGCCGATGCTCACCCAGAGCTGCTTTCACTGTCTGGGAAACTCTCAAGTGAGGTCAGGCTGATACACAAAAGCTGCTTGTGCTACCACTCACTTGGTAGCACTTGGACACCAAGCTTAAGCCTGCTGAGTGCTTGAACCCTAGTTCTTCACTGAGGTAGAGACCTGGCGTGCACAGCTGCCTCTGAGGCACGCCACTCCTGACATTTGTTGCTTATCTACAGGGCACGGTTCAAGCCTTTGCTCTGCAGCTCTCTCAGGCTCTTGATCTATGGGAAAGCAAGATTTTGCTCTCCACGCAATTCTTTTCCCAAAAGGAACACTTCAGCTGCAGGTGTCAAGAGTGCAAAACAAAGCTGAGTGATTGATGCCCTGCTGCTTGTGAACAGGGCAGAGGGAAGCCTGAGACTCTCGCCCAGCACAGAAAAGATGTTACCACAAAACTGCTGGTCGCTTAGGGCAGCTACCTGAGGAAGGGGAGATGTAGCTTCAAATTCTCCAAGCTGTGTTTCCCACAGCCAAAAGAAGTGACCTAAAGCCATGAATTACTGGCTGGATGAACTCTCCCAGTAGCTCCTGCTGGCGCTGTCCCACTCCACATGAAGGATTATTGAGGACAGCAAGGATTCAACCCCTCAGCTCCCACACTCCAGGCCCCCCAGAATAACAGCCCTCTCACTCTCAGACAGGAGCACTTCTGCAATGCTGCTGTAAGGGCCTGAATGAGAAAGAAAATTAGGCCAATACTGGGCACCTCTCCACATGCCTCAATCCCCCTATAAATCTGCCTCTTAGTTTGAATCTATTATTGATGGTTTAAGGTTTGAGTACATTATTAACAGTTTTACAAATTCTACTGTGTTCCTTACAGTCATTTAATTTACAAACCACAGATCTCTACTCCTTACTAAAATATTATTGCAAGGTTGCAAATTTCAGACTCTTTTGATTTCAATGAGTTAGGGGGTTTTTTGTTGGCTTTTTAAAATTTTTAATCTTTAAACCACAACTTCAAAAAAAAAAATCCAGTAAGAAAAAGATTAGCCACTGAATATACTCATCAAGGCATGGATTATGTTCTTTAAAACTTAAAGGAGCTTGTCCTGCCTTTTCCTCTGTCCATATTCATGTTTTTGCAAATTCCCACAAGGCAAGAAGTATGTTAGATAATGAGAGCATGGTAGTGGTATTGTTTAACTTTCTAGGCAGTTATACATCCTAGGGATACAGAACTGAACTGCTAATCAATAGGCTATTGAAAAGTCACACAAAAATAATGGAAAAAAGTAAGTCTACTGCTTGCATTTAATACAAGAGCTGGGTGGATGCTCGTTACTGGTGGGAAAACCACTTTTTGATCATTACCTAGAAGATGGCATACAAGTGCTTACGATTAGTTTCCTGCAGTTTTCAAACAGTGCAGTGACTGTGGCTTCTTTCAAGTCCATGGACCCACGCCAATTCACACCTGGGCCCACACAGGGTAAGGCTGTTTTCCTTTGCCTGCTGCAACATGCTGCAGCTCATGCCTGCTTCCTATGAAAACCTGGGCATGAAGGGGTGATTTGTATTCTGATCTCAGCCTGGTCTGCCCTGGAGGTGCATGCCCAGACCTAGTGCCAGGGAACTACAGTCTTGCTTCTCTCCTGCTATGAGTATGATCATATTACCAACTCAAGCACTAAACAACTATGAGATTGATTTTTAAAAAATATTATTGTCAAGTTTACAAAGCCATATTTTCAAGTTTCTATACACAACCAAAACAACTAGAAAGAATTTATTTTACAGTGAAAATGATTATTTTCAGTCCTCAAATAATTTCACACCTTCTGAAGCTGAAATGTGTATACTGCTAATTTCATTAAAGGAAAGTCCCAATCCAAATAGCTGTCAACACTGCTTGATTTATTGATTCAAGAATCATTAATCAATTAATTAGTCAATTAATCCATATTTTCACTGAATACTTTGCTGAATTCTTTGTCAGTTATTTAGTTTATATGATTTACATTCATAGCCAAATTGTTTGGTGGCTCTTTACTGATTGACTGGAAAGAACATTTTAACAAAAGAATGATCAGCACGGGTTAAACTAAGAATAGAATAATGCCTAGAGGAATTTCCACCTGTACTAAAAATAAACATTACATTCCCAGCTGTCTTTCAAACTCTCCTCAAACATGGATTTCATGAGCTGCAGCCAATGCACACTTTTTTTTTTACCATCACCTACATTTCTATTTGTACTGCAGCAATACCCAGACCCTTGCTGCAGATGACAACCTTCCCCAACAGTGATGGGCTTGTACACCTGTGAGGAACAGGCACAGTCTTAGCCCCAAATAGCTTAAATTCCTGGGAGGTATTTACTGGTTTTAATACAACTCAAACTTGATAGAGAAGTAACACAAGAAGGGTGCATGTCACAATCACTTGTTACCAAAAAAGGGGAGTAGAACATGTTATGACCCATGAAGGGCAGGCATCTCTTGCTGTGACTACCTTCTCTGTATTGTACAAGACTGCTCTGAATTTTTTGTGGACAATTTTTAAAATAGGTTATGAGATCAATCTGAACGATGCACACTCAGTTGAAATGAGGGTTCACAGTTCTTCACCTTTCTGGGAAAAAAAGGTCATTTTTTGAGAACTACACTGAAGAACTGCAAGAGCTTCATATAACTGGTTTGAGGACTAGTCTTTAGCATTAGAGGTGCACTTTGTTTATTTATTCACATATTCACAGTATGAAGTTTGCCTGAATATACAAATGGACACCAGGAGAATCTTTCAAGTATTTTTCTAGCAAATTACCATCCTTGGTATAACTTCCTTGAACTTACACTTAAAATCACTCAGCTCACCATGGTATGGCACAAGTCTCTTCCAAGGATCTCTGTCTGCCATAATGTCCACAGCATGATTAATCACAATTCAATCCTTTCACCATGTGACAACGGTGGGTTTTTTTCTCCTGTCCTACCCATTCTTTTGCATACACAGACATGCCAATCATGCACTTCAGAAAGCCTCTTAGAGCTGAGCCTCCTCCTCACATCAGAAGATCTAGAATTTGTCCCTTGCTCTGTCAACAAATTCTTGGTCAGCACAGGTCAGCTACTTGGAGAACCACCTGCCCTGTGGACAGCCATGATACCCAAATGGACAACTAGGGCATCCACACTCACTTATATGCTCTCAGTGCAAGTGTTGTTACTGGTTATGGAATTGTAGCGCTGCATAGAATATAAATAATAAAATCACTGGAGCATCATATCCACTCAGGATGTATAGTTAATGACTAATGAAACCACATGTCACACTGTTCTTCAGACCATAGTAGAGTGTGGCACGATACAGTCTGATTAACCATAAGCACCTTTTCCACATTCACAAACGTGGGAACAAAACATTTCACCAGTATACAGTCTGAATTCCTGAGTTTATTTTAACCTGGAGTTTTCACAGTATGGAAGAAAGACAGTAGCTTCAATCCCATTAATATCAGGAGCAGGCACAGACTTTCACCTCAGCTCAGTATAATCTCAATGATTTGCACAAATTATCCCTCTACTCCCTGAGCCTAGGCACCACCTTGTTAGGTATGAGGAAGAGCCGACCTCCCCATTCTTTTTTTTATGCAGGCAGGTATTTTGGACTCTGTTAGCAGTAGCTTAAAATGACCCAGTAACAGGAGTGGTAAGGGCTGAGGGCTTGGATGCCAAGCTGCCCGTGTGAGTTTTTAGCAATCAATGAAACTTGCAGGTCTGGAGGAAAACACTGGCAATCTCTGACACAGATCATTTGAGAGCACTTGAGTAACAGGCCTAGTCCAGTTCTTATTAGTAAAACATCTTTAAACTACATGTAAGATGAATTCTAAATACATCTGATAAATTCTCCTGAACTGTATTCAGTGTAAGGATAAAAACATCCTGGAGAAAAAACCCACTTAAATCTACATTTGATCACCTACCTATGCAGGTCCTGCCATCAGGCCCCAGCTGCAGTCCTGGAGAAGGACAGCGGCAGCGTACTTCCCCCTTCAGTACATCACAGCCATACTGACAGTTTGCCATCGAGCAAGAAAGGGCATCTAGGGAAAAATAATGTAACATATTTAGATAAGGACTCCAATCAGTGCCAGAAAATGACTAAAAACTTTGGAGAATTAAGATGTTGTATAATTACGATAGAAGTGGAAAAAAGCTTGTTGAATTTGACAGGTATCTATTCAGGCTTTAAAGAGCAAATGCATATGCAGTAAATTTATTCTTTCCACAAATTGCATCTCTAAGTAAAAAAAATAGCAAGTTGTGACATGGAATGCAGCCTCCATGAGGTATATAAAGCCCAGTATGTACTATAAACCCTCCTGGACAGTACTGACATTTTAAAATAGCAGCATCTTTAATTAACGGTAATTACTCTCCCCTTCTCTCCGTCCAGACACTCAAAATATCCACTTTTATGGGAGCAAGTAGGAACCTGATCTCCAGAGAGACGACAGTACAATTTTATACCAGTCAAACAACCAACATCTGCAGCTTTAATGATTTTACATTCATAAGAATATAATACAGCAGAACTGCAGGTGTCTTGCTGCAATGAAAACCGCAAGCACTTGTCCTTGAAGGCCAATTAACAGTGATTTACAGCACCGAAGAATGCTTCTGGGGAAATTTGTAATAAAACTAATAAAATCAAAATATTTGCTCTTGTTTTGTTCAGCCTAATTTCATTAGAAAAAAAAGAAGCTCATCTTGTGCAACTGCCTAATTTCCAGCAAGATTAATCTTTTACTTTGGGACTTATCTTCATTTCATAAAAGTCTCCCAGGGAAACCCAAGCAGGGATCTTGAGGAGCTTGAAAAAAGCAATCAACAAGCCTTGCCGTACTCGAGCACGTTCCATCTGGCATAAGCATGTAGCCATTCAGACAGTAGCACTTGTAGCTGCCATAGGTGTTCATACACCGGTGTTTGCATGGCCGTGGCTTTAGTCCACACTCATTTAGATCTGAAATGAAGAGTACAAAGGAAGGGGTGGGAAAATAAAACATACAAAGTATGTGTGAAAAAACTACTAGTTCAAGTTCCTGGAGAAAGAAGGAAAAAATTACAATTAGCTTCTTATACACAGTCCAGCTGATAGCAAGTGTCCAGAATGTCCTGCATGAAGCACTGTTCACCCCTCCAGCCAAGTGGCATATTTTCTTCTGTTTCACAGACATCCTTTCAGAGATGACAGTATTAGCATCAGATTAATGCCAACAGAAGTTTCATTAGGGAATGCACAAGCTCAGCCTGCCCATATCTTGCCACTGTTCATATTGATGCCGTGTCCAGGACCAGCCAGAACTCTGGAGGAGGAGGGAGGAAGCAAATGTCACTGCTGCAATCACTATCAGTGATTCCGATAGCGATTCAGTGATTCACTATCATGCTTCAAAATCAGTTGCAGAGGAAGGTAGGAAAGCTGATGCTAGCCTACTTTAAACAATCTCACAGAGAAAATGTATTCTTTACCATCTAGAAAATGCTGGGAAAAAAGTATCTGACATCAATGACATTTGTCAAGGACTATCCATGAAGGCTACTATTTCAGATTTACAATTTAATATAGATTTCATTACTTAAACTGAAAATATTCAGTCTACAATTTTCTTATTAGTAGATAAGGCTTCTAACAAGAAATAAAGATTGAGTGAGCATTTCCTTTAGAATTCTCTTCCAAGAATATCTGTTGGTTTTATCTGGGTAAACCAGAATAATTTATTACTTAGTTATTTGTGTACTGATGAGTAAACGAGACAACAATGGTGAAAATAATAAATCTATTCAGAAATCCAGCCAGCAAGTACTTAAACAACTGAGTTACCAACCCTCATCTCTAACATTGCACAACACTGTCCGGAGCTCTGTTAACAGTAAGAGAGTCACTGTTATTTCCAGGAACTTTTCAAAGCTCCACTATTAAGCACATTCTCATCAAAAGTCACCCCCTAATTCACACAGCAGAAAAGTAACCTTTGAGGTTCCTGCCGTGTGGTAGACACCCAAACAGGGTTACTACTTCATAAAATGCCAGCTGAGGAGACACATGCTTTCTATGGACTTAGATGTGAAGGCTTAGAGTTAAGATGTTAAAAAAGAAAGAAATATATCTCTGGTTAGAATGAAGTCAGTAATTCTTAACAGTGTTTATGCGTATCATTAAATCTGTTGTCTTCTGACCTACTTTGTTTTCACCTTCATGGGGTCAAGCAAGAGTGAGCATCATGAAGATAAGTATTTGCCCCTCCCCAAAACCCTTCCCCTAACTGACAGATATGACTGTTTTTACTTCATTCTCTAAGGCCTCAGGAAGAGTAGCAGGTTTAGGGATAAGAATACATCCTGATCACCTCTGCTGCAAGATGGTAGTGGTAAGGGACATAATTTTCCCTTTCTTCCTGCAGAAGGTTGAACAAGATGTTTCTAGGAAGCATGAAGGGAAGTGTTTGCTCCTAGAGTGGTGAGGAAGATCAGGTGAGTGTAGATAGGACTTCAGTGAGGAAAAATTGCCAAAATAAGGGCTGGACCTGTGCCTGACAAACAAGGAGTGATGACCATCTCTGCAGTCTTCTTGTGGATCGTGCGTTGCAGAAAGAGCATCCCCTTTCAACTCTCACTCTTTGAGTCTGAAAGCATTTCTGGAGTTGCTAGGAGAACAAACTTTTCCCAGAAGGCACCAATGGCACAAGTGCACCTGCTGGGTCTGACAGAAACAGCTGTAGGAGAGCTACATTTTCTACTGTGAAAGCAGAATCTTCAGCTAAGAGTTGTGACTATTGATAGAGTACGTGCATAGTCAAATGGAAAAGCAGTAGATGATTAGAGCAGACGGGAAGGACAAGCTTTCTTTGTGAAAATCTTTGTGTAAAAAAAAAAAAAACCCTTTACATAAAAATGCTCAACAATAAACAGGTGAAAGCTTGCATTTTTGGAGGCAAACTTCTCTGGGCAGCACAAAAAGCTGTGGGTTTTTTGTGCTATAAAACTTACTACAATTAGGCAGCTCCTGACAGAAATTATAGTTGCATTAACAGATTTATTACACATGCAACATTTCTGTCAAAAAATTGTTAAAGTCAAAAATTCTGTTAGAGTTTGACTTCAATTCATAAAATTATCCCCACAGAGCCCACACTGTTGACTATTCTGAGATTCATGGACATCATTTTGAAGTAAGAGAAAGAAAAAGTTTAGTAAGTCTAAAATATCTGTATTCTTCCTCTTTTGTACAAAAAGCATCACTTTACAAAATAAATGCATAACAGAGCTAAGTTTAAAATACTTCACTAGAAATAGGGGCAGAATGAGGAAAGGTAATGCTGAAATTAAGCTGACAAGACAGGATTTTAACAGTGCCTGTATTAACTTCCAGTAGTTACATCCCACTGCACTTCAGCTCTAAGTTCAGATACTCCCGAAGGCTTTACCCTTAAGAACTGCCTCAATTTTATTTCCAGAGATACAACCACAGATCTAAAGTTGAAAATGATAAGAATTTATGACTGTTCTCAGTTTACCATCTTGCATGACGTATAGATTACATTATGAGCCTTAAATAATGGGATCTTTCTATAGGACTCTGACTACCACACCACCATTTGGCACAAAATATTCTTAGCACAGAAATGAAAGTTCTGGTATTGCCAAATAGACAGCTATTAGTAACATACTTTGAGAATAACCTGATATTAAAAAGTAGGCGCAATCAACTGTATTAGGATATCACATCACACACTTTTCATTTGTTGAATTTTTACTAAATTATTTCTATTGTCTTCATTTCATCCTATTTCTGCCTGTGAACAAATGCTGTGAACATCAGCTTTTGATTCGCATCTTAAAAGACAGGCTGAAAGTAAAATGCCTGTGCCTTGAAAAAGTTCAATTTTTTTAACCTTGGCTGACGTAACAGAAAGCTAAGGTCACGAGGCAGCAGAAACGGGCTGCTAGCACAACTCCACTTAAACCTAAACCTCATGTGTCACAGGTTTTCACTTTTTCCTTTGAAATTATTTATTGAGAGAAAGATGTTTTTAACCTTATGGAGTCAGAATGAATGCTACTGTTTAGGAAAACAAGTACTGGCAGTGCTGTGGCTGCTTAAGAGAGAAGCCAGCCTGCAGAGAGGTTAGGCATGTTCGAGCATACTGCTCAGCCCATTTTATTTTCCCCAAAACATAATTTGTCTTTTTATCACCAGTGTAGACAGTCACATACTCAGAGACTACATGACAAGCACCACTCATTTTCCTAGGAGGCACATTGTATGACTACTGGCAGGTCCTACTGGTTCTACATAAAGGCCTGTATGAATACACTGACAGCTCCCTTGATCCACCCCTGTGCACCCATAATCTGCAGCAGCGTGCTTCCCCAAGAAGAGTCTGGACGTACTGCACATGGACTGGGGGAGCGCTGAAACGTTCCTGCTATTTATATACTCTGTCCGTTTGTGTGCTTCTTGTTCCTTAAGTATTTTTTCAAGAACAGGTTCAGGCTGATGTTAGCAGTCAAAAACACAGCTGTAGCAACATACATCTTAAAAAATACTGGTTACTTATCAATTGTGTATTTCAAGCAACATCTATGAAGACATCTCAGTATAAATATCTATGCATCAAAAGAGGAAATAAGAAAACAGTAGAAGTTTCCTCTAAAAAAAACTAAAAACTATGACTTACAGAGTCAAAGGGTAGTAAAAATAACACATCGTTTTTCTTTCTTTTAGTCACTTATAATCTCACACTGGAATTTAAAATATAAAGCCCGACACTATTAAAAAGTTTAACAAATTCATTTAATTTCTTTGCAGAAATGTCCACTCACTGTCCCGCAATTGAGAATTTCACTGTTCAGCCACTTACATTCCCAGGTTGCCTGCAACTGTATAGTCAATGCAAAACCAGCATTCTTAATTTCAAAATAACATAAGACAGTACTGTATATAAAAGCAGACTGACAATTTTGGCTACTATGGAAAGCAGGTCTATAACATAAGCACAGGTTGCTGAGCCCAAGTATTTTATTTTTAAAGAAAAGAAATAAAAATGTGAATGCAAGGAAAGGACAAGAGTGCTACGCTGGCAAATCTGGATGTGACTTCTTTGACTACTGTGCGACACCACACATGATGTGGGATAATGATGGACTTCAGTGCACACTTAACAATGGGGCACTTACTCCTAGGAAGATGTGAAACACTCTGCTATCTTCTTTAATTAGCTCCTGCAGAAGACTCCAGCACTCAGACTTTTTCTGCCTATCAGCTAACTTGGATCAGGCAACACAGAGGTCAAATATTCAATACCAAATTTACTTAGATTTTGAAAACAGAAAACCAAGGACCAGAAACCAAGTAAAAATTTCAATTGATATCATCATACTATAAACATTAGATCAACTTCCATTTACACCAACTACCACCGCACTACCATGTCAAAATTATGAGGAGAGATTTGTATCACCCTCCTAAGAGAGTTTTGTTCACACCACTTAGTCTGATCAATCAACAGCTGCCAAATGCAGAAGTTAACAACCCTCATTTTCTTCAACTTCAGCTTTATGTAAATCACAGTTTGGTCTTTACCTAACCTCATAAACAATTTCCATTGCTCTCACTTTACAAATTATATCAGAAACAAAAAGTGCAGGACCAGAAAGAAGAGCAGAGGAAAGAAACAAAAGCAAGTTACAACCATGAGTATGGAGGAGAGTCAAGCCTTGTCAGAATACAGGCACACAGCATCAAGGAAATACAATCAGTTATTTGCTCTGCATGCTAATGACACGGAGGTCCAGGTTCTGCATCACAGCCATCAGTCTATTAGCCTCCAACTGCTTTGCAAGAAATGGCATTAGTGTTCCAAGCCGTGCAGGTGGAAGGAGCACGCCACTTGAAATACGGGACCATCTCACCCCTTGATGCTATATTACTTGCAGGACGATCCAGGGGGCGGAATAGAAGTGCTTCACTGCTCTGACTGGGTAGACTTGTATATAGCTGCTCATCTTCACAGTATGGGAAGAAGGCATAATAAAAATGAAATTACCAGATCTTTGTAATATACATTACTTCATCATTTAAAAAAAAAAAAAAAAAAAAATATATATATCTATATCTATGAAGCACTGACAAAAATTGCATTACCCAAAGAAGAAGTAGCAAACTTTGCATCACATTCCTGGAACAAACAGGTAAGAGGATAGTAAATTCTAGAAAAGGGGCCTTGTATTCTTTGCATAAAGACAATTTTGCCCAGCCACATGATGTTAACCTCCATATGCTTTATATTGCTAGCAAAAATGACAAGTTTTCAACTATTCTTATTTGTCTGTGAGCACAGACCTTATTGAAGAGCAGGTATCGATTTTCCAATGAACACATTTTGTAAGAAGTGTTAGTTCTGTTTATTATCACTATAAATTAGAGAGCTGGCACAGGGTACTTTTGCTCTTATGCAGAGTCACTGCAATTTAATTGCTGATGATAGCAACATAATAAAAGAAGCATCAGCTAATTCTAATTTCTGAGTGACCTAAAGCGAGGTCTAGATTGCCATAGCATCTGCAGCGCCACTGGAAAGGGACAAGTATCCAGGCATCATCACACAGTCAGGGTTCAACAGTTCTGCTGTGAGGGTGGGTTCTTCTCCTGGACTGGTCCCTGGAAAACAGCTTGATCCAGGAGGCCCATGAACAGATGAGATGCAATGCTTGTTTATCAGTGCTTGTACTCAAAGAACGCCTTTCACCAAGAACCTGAGCACAGTTTACAGCCCAGCACCATTCACACATCCTAGAAAGACTTCCACCTCTTCAGGGGAAGTCCACCATTTCTTCTGCCAACACCATTACTTTCTGTTATTAATAATTATTATTCTAGAATAGAAATGAGAAAGGTGGCCCACAGACTGCACAGGACAGGTGGTATATTAAGGTATAATAACATAGGTCACACTTATCCTGTGCAATTTGAATTTCTTGCCAGCAAAAGACTGCATCCACTATGCACTTTCAGGTCTTATCTTTACATGGAATCAGCATGTCGCAAGAAAGCATACCCTGACTCCAAGAACAGCTCAAGGGTCTCACCATATAATAGAAAAGGTATAGGCTGTAGTCACCTGAACTGGTGTACATTTGGGACACCAGAGTCAGCAGGCCTCTCAGAAACCTCATGCGCATCTGCCACGGCAACTTTGCCACCGATACCATGCAATATTGCCTAATAAAAGGCTTCTTTTAATCATTTATCACCACATTTTTTTCCTTCCTTAGCATTCAGTGGGAAGTGAATAGTTTCATTCAAGACTGCAGCCTCCAGCAATTTGCACAGCATTCTTTTGATATTGTTAAATTAATTAGTACATATAAAACCTGTTGCATATACATATAATGACTGTTAGTTCACTGCACTCTAGTTTCTAAAAAAGTTCCAGACTGACCAAAACAGATGTAGAATAATAAAATCATAACAACCCATCCTTTAAAATGTCAGCCCAGAGTAAAGGGATAAGGAGACAGGATAATTTGAGAGGTGACAGAATTAATGAAACTTAAAACTGAAAAAAACACAACATTAATTTCCACATCAGTTTGGGAAGGATTAGTAAATCTGAAAATAAATACATGTCTATTTTTGAAGAAAATAATTCACTCTCAAATCAACATGTCAAAAGAAGGTTATCAAACATCAGGCTACATTTTTTAACAACAGCATAGTTCTAAATGTCACACTTTTCTACCATACTTCCTCAGAACTCTCAGAAAACATATGAACTTATTCTATAGGTTGAGCCAACTGGAAAAGAGAACAGTCTTATTGAGATATCTTGATACATGAACATGTCTTAGGCATCAAAATCTAATAAATCACGTATTCTTACAATTCTGTTTTATACTCTATAACCTTTATATCATTACATGTTTCGGGGATAATTTTTGGAAAAAAAAGCCACAATGAAACTATATTGGTAATTCAGTAAGAGAACACGTTTCCAACTCTTAAGTACGCACTACCTAGCTAGTTCAGGATTAGAAACTCAAATATGAGAATGCGTGAATGATTTTTTTTTAATTAAACAATATTATTTCACTATCAAACCTGAAAAATGTGACTTTATGAAATAACAATCCTGACAACAAGCTTTAAATAATTTGATCCAGATTCAGGAGAGCACGTAAATACATACTTTACATTAATCTCATTGATTTCACCTGAATGAAAGCATTTTTTTCCCTGTGTTATCCCACTGAAGACATTTTTCTCTCTGTAAATGTCAGTTCCAGTATCAGAACAGCTACAGCAGAAACAGATCTGGTGTATGAGTTCATTACCCTATAAACACACAGGCAACACACACAGCATTTGGGGGGAGAATGATCAATAATATTTCTGTGATTTCAAGAACAAATTATTTCTTGGACTTCACTTTCTTACCTTGGTTGCAGGTTTTTCCAGTGTATCCTGGGTGGCACTTGCACTTGTTTGGCCCAACGCATTCACCATGTTTACATCCTGGCTGGCATATAGCTGCAAAAGAGGAATATTCATTATTTTTCCACTCCAGTCATGGCAGACAGTGTTTTACTTTGCAACAAATAGCAACGATCTAACAAATAGTACAATTTATGTTCCTCCCTTCAGCATCATTACATGCTTCAAATACCACTGTTCAAACATCAGGTGCACTTTCAAAAATAGCCACCAATACACGTGGGGAGAGTGAGACACTTGTTAGTAGTCTATTTTTGTACAACACTACCTTGTGCTGTTTCTGGGACATTAAACCCTTTTAAAAACTAATCAGCAAGCAGGAGCAGGCGCTGTGCCTTCACTTGCTCTCTCAATGTCCACATCTACTATGATTCATGTCATTAAATTTGGTAAATCTGGAACACGCCCCAGCTATATGGAAAATGCGCCCACCAATGCCATAGGTGATACACAAACAAAGCCATCGTTCAGTCACTGACAGGCAGATCCCAGCATTCACCATTTTCCTCTATGACTACAAGGCAACACTCTTTATCCTCTTATTAAGCAGTGTTTTACCTGAATTTCTCCCTTTCAGGTGTTTGGATTCTGGCATGGGAATTACTCCCCCCCTCCCCCCCTTTAGAGGGAAAAAGGACTGGGTAAAAGCAAAAGCAACACTGACTCTAATATGCTGCTTTATCACTGCACACACCCAAGTCACTTCTACTCAGAACATTTCAAACATTTATTACCCAAGCTGCTGAACAGATGTAGTCTCAGAATTTGAAGTCACGGTCTATTCTGCCTTCCAGAGTCAAATTTGCCAGGTAATTTCTAATTCCCCAGATAGAGTATAATTAGAGAACTCCAAGAAATAAAAAGAAACCATTTTTTGTATCTCTCAATATAACACAAACAAAAATAATAAAACAAACCTTTAAAACTTCAATAATAAAACAAGCATTGCTTTTGAAGAAAAATAAGAATTAATGCACAAGTGTATTTTTACTGATGTAGGATTAGCTAACAGGAAAGTTTTCAGAGTGTAACGAGTCCTGCATAACTCTGTAAACCACTTTACAGCTGAAAATTTTAAACAACATTTCCAAGTCTTTTTTATTAGAAATGTCTTCCTATTACTAAACATACTGTTTCAACCTACCGGAAAACTGAAGAATTTACTATGTTCTACAATGTTTTTCATCATTATATGACACAATGCAGACACAAAATTCTGGTGAGCTTACTGTTTAAGCAAGATGGACACAAATGAGACAGAAATCAAAGGGTCACATAACTTGAATACCCTGTAACCAGGACTTTAAGTTCATTTTCTAAACTAACAGTATTGTTTGGAATTTGGAATTTGCAAAGTAACTAACTAGATCCACTAGCTGTAATATTAATTAATCTAACAACAGGCTGTATCATAAAACTGGACGGATTAAGGATGTAATTGAACAGAAACCTGTCAGAAGGCACTCAAAAATGTAGCTTGCATTCTAGCCAAACTGTTCAACAGGGTTGAATTAAACAAACTTAAAACAGAAACAAGATATTAGTTTTGGTTGTGAAAGAACTATGCAAATGCATTTCTGATGTTCTAAAACCTTTTCCTTAAGGTTCAAAGCAACCAGAATCAGCAATCCCCACAAATGCATCCACAGAAGCAACTTTTAGCATAGAAGAAGTTTGCTCCAGTTTTATTATCAGGGCATTGTTTTGTTTAAATGTTAGATTTAGAGAGAGAGAGAGAGAGAGAGAGAGAGGGAGAGGGAGAGAGAGAGAGAGAGAGAGAGTACCAGGGATATACCCCAAGAACATAAAATCTTGGTTTACATCTACAGCACTGCTCTTGACGTATCTTCCTAACACAATGGTGCAATCTCTTTCTGAAAACTCTCTTAAAGAATATCTTAAAAAGCAACAGAGAAGGATGTTTCTAGTTAATGCAAGATTTTTTTTTTCCCAATACACACTGTCAAGAAACAAAGAAATGGGATTCATATTCAGAAACACCTCTCAATTAAAGTGTTGGGGAAAGGTGCTGCTTAGACTACTGTGTTTCAAAATGTATACCCTTGGGTAATGGCCAGATTTGACTGAAAAGCAACCCATACATCATTAAAAACTTATAGAACATTGTATTTGGAAGCAATTGTTGCTTTTTCAGTCACTACAGTCATAAATGGAGAAAAATATCTTCTTTGTGAAAGAGCTCATTTAGACAGGGACTCCTATCTTCCTGACATCATAGACCCAATTGGAATTACAGGTGATGGCAGCAAAGTGAAGACAAGTGAAGACCAACTTCATGACTTTGAATTCACCGGGGAAAACAAAAAAGATGTGATCTAAACTACAAGCAGAGAAATAGGAATTACTATAAATATGTTTTTGAAAGCTTCCATTAAATTTCAACTGCACTTTAGAGAAAATCTGTATTGTGGAGCGTGATACAGTTAGGTAATAATTAGCTTTAAAAACCACAACGCACCATAGGATGAGATTAGTGTGAAGTGTTACAGTTCAGTAGCTGAACATGTCGCAACTTTAGTTTGGCTTTTAAAGTCTTAGTCCCTCCTTCAATTGCATAGACTGTAAATTAGCAGCAGCATCTCAGAGAAAAAAAGATCTTATACTTGAAGACTAAAAGCCTTATAAAATTCAGTACTGACATAAACAAGATTTTAATTTCATTTAGAAATGAGTATGTTCCTCTAATTCAGAAGCCCAAATACATTTGTATTAGGAATTGGATGTTCTGGTTAATTCTTTCAAACAGGTCAGATACCGTACTAGAACAAAAATTAAGTATTAGTATTTGTTTAAAACAAATAACATACAGCTGTCCACAGATATGAAACATGTAACACAGGCCATGTTATTAAATCAAGCAAACAGATCTATGGGATCTTCAAGAGATCGCCTAGTCCAATGCATCTCAACAAACTTAGCTCCACACTATGCCATAATTAATGTCTCATACGACATAGAGATGGATAACTCCTGATCTAGTCTACCTCCTAGTCTCAAGATATAATTAAGAAATGCACTTAAATCACATGACAGATACCTCTCTCTTCTGTTTTTAAAAGTCTCAGTTAAAGGAGATCCCAGCCCCTCAGCATACAGTTCAAGAATCTCTACTACCACAAGGGAAGTTTCCTAATGATTAGCAAACCACTATCCATAAAGTCAAAATCATCATAAAATGCTTTTTTTCCATATTAAACAGGTATTTGTAAACCTATGTTTGCTGTCAAACACTGTACTTGAAGAAATCCTGTTTATTAGAGTACATTCTGTGCACTTTGGTTACTTAAGTATTATGCATCTTATTTATACACAGCTGCTTGAAATTCAATCCAATGCTACAACTGTGAAATTTCCATACACGAGAGAAAAGCACTTTGCAGTAAGTTTAGCAACATCTGTAGCTCAGCCAACACCACAGATGCACCCCACAGCATTTCCTATCAGGAATCAAGTCACCCTCACCAAGAAATTTGTATATCCTCCCATTAATTTGGACAGGGCTTTGCATGGTGTTCACGTGTCTGGTTTTTAGCTGGGACGGGACTACGTTTGAATAGCACTCTGTTTTGGTTTCATGGGATTTGATACGAGAAAAACACTGATAATATACCAGTGTTTTTAAGTGTCGCTGGAAGTCGAAGGACTTTGTGCTTGTTAGTCTACAAGTGCAAGGTCTAGTGTGGGGCAAGGAATATTTAAATTAATAAGCTAAACTGGCATTCAGATATGCCAATGGGCTATTCCATATCATATAATGTCATATTCAGTATATTACTGAAGGTCTCTCTCTTTTGGGGCTTTCTCTCTCTCTCTCTCTGGCTTTTTCTTGGGCTCTCACTGTTCCGGGACTGCGGTTTCAGGATTGTTGCTCCTCTGGGATCGAAGGGTCCTGCCACTGCAGCCTGTAAATGCTCCCTTCTCCAAAGGAGGAGCTGTCCCTGCATGGCAGCAGAGATACAATCGCTGACTCCCATAGGATTCTGTTTCAACATGGTCAACAATGAGAACCAGGTATAAAAATAAGCTTGAGCCTGATTTTCAGCATTTCTTTAAATAGCAGGCAATTATTTCAGCTGATTGGTATGAGTCAGGGCATACACTATGTATGCTGATGCGACTGGGTTTTTTCTTTGAATTTTCCACTTTACTTATGTTCTTTGCAAAATTCAGAATGGAATGGAATGGAATGGAATGGAATGGAATGGAATGGAATGGAATGGAATGGAATAGAATAGAATAGAATAGAATAGAATAGAATAGAATAGAATAGAATAGAATAGAATAGAATAGAATAGAATAGAATAGTTCCGTTGCTCTGCTCACACACAAACACGTGGAGTTTATCCATTCATTTAACACAATTAGACTTGTAAGTAGTGGGGAAAAAAGTTTCCCAACTAATATTCTTTGCACTTTGACAACTAAAAAATTCCCCACAACCAACCACAATGCCCAACAGAATATCAGTTCCCTCTGCTCAACTCACATTTCCAATGACTGAAATAAGCCATGTCCAAGGACTTCAGTCTGCTACGTAATACTCCCCTACTAGGCAAGAAGGAAACGCAGACAGTGGAGAGTTACACTAGGCTGAGAAAGTCGCTCTCTTGCACTCTGAGGGCAATGAAGTCCAGAAGAGTCTGAAAAGGTTGCCAAAAAGAAGCAAAAACTTTCTACTCTCTGTAACCCTGTTTTAAAAAAAGTTAAGAGTACACGTGTATAGACAAGTGCCACTAAAACCAAGATTGCTAATTTATTGTTGAATCAGTATCAACAAAGACCTATCATTTCTACAAGGATTCCTCCCTGCAAGTATTTAAACTGGCACTGCCATCGGGTAATAATGTGGACTGGCATAGAGAGAAAGACATCTTATGCACAGCTACCCTCATCTTTAGTCAACTGCTGCTTATTTATCTAGGCCACAGAATAAACTATAAACGATAACTAAACTTTCCATTTCATTTTTTGCCCAATTCATTCAAGAGATATCAGCAAATAAACTCCGGTCTTATGATTATTCATTTCAGTTTGATCTTTTTAAATTTTTTCTGGGGGGCCAGACGTGAAGATTTGCTCTGTCTCCATTCCCACTGACTTCAATGGAGTCAAGGAGGTATCCTAAAGCCTTTTATTTGGCCATAAATCTAACAGAGTACCTATTTTAAAGGCTGGCAAGAACTACCTCGTCCTCCAAAACAAGATAACAAATACCATATTGTAAATCTCACTTAAACTTCAGGACAAATTAAACTTCCTGTAAAAAACACAAGGAATTGAAACGTGAATGAGTGGTTTGAGTTTAGGGTTGGGGTTTTTTTTCCAAGTGTAGGAGAGAGGGAGAAAGAATTTCTGGTGAAATGCACATTCTGTTAACACATGTTATGGTTGTGTAAAAGCCAGAAGCCACCAATCTTCCCAGCCTCTACTAGCTGCTGGTGGTGTCTCAACATTACTCAATAATTTTGAATTATTATTTTTTAATTGTTGCATAAACACAATAAATGAAAAACACATTCAATCAATTCATTATGGGTCTGTGCTGCTGGGTTTTTAAAATTTCTTCTTTATTTTCTCCCTGCATGAAGTCCCCCTCAGGTTTTGTCAGTTTCTGTGCACTAAGCTGCCCCCCTTTTGAGGACATGGGTAACTACCACATGCTGTCCCCTCTATTCCTTCTAATCTAGAATTTTAAAGTCAGTGATTTATTTCATGATTACCAAACACTGTTTTGTGGAGTCCTAACCATATGTTTGCACAGCATGATTCCTACCTGCCCAACTACTAATTTGTGGCCAACAATGGAAAACCCTGAGTTTTCTTAGTAGAGTATCTCTACCAATTTAACTCTTCTTTGGTTTCCCAACACTTGCCAAGCTACACCTTTTATCAAAACAGTCTTGAGTATAATTCTTACATTATTTTTCTCTGCTTTGCCTCTGAATTTCTGTTCCTTAAAAGTTATTTCATATTCCTTGCATTTTCTTTTTTTGTGTGATGCCCACAAGAGGGTTTCATTGACAGAAGTTGCCCTCAAATTTTTAATTGCTTTTTGCATCCCTCCACTCAAATCTGCCTCAAAATACCAGATTTCAGATGTCCAAACTGTCCTTTAACTTCTATTTTCACCTCTTTGAAGTCTAAAAATAAGCATAAGAATCCCTGCATCTGAACAAACTATGCCAACCACCTGCCTAAACGGCCTTGCTTCTGCCCTCTCTTCCCAAGTAACACATAGCCCCTTACTTATTCTGACTCTACATCCCAGCTCTTTAAAATTCAGTTTGCCCAAACACAGGAAGTAATTTGTGCACCAGCCCAGAAGATGATTACATAGTATTCAGCTTCACAAAACCCTTATTGGATCCCCTTACACTGCTGAATGCAGAACAGACTTCCAATCTTAAGACCGTTACTTATGTTGCCTTAGTGCCAACTTGATAACAAGACTTGCACGTTGGTGAAACCAGTTTTCCCCCTGTGCTTCCTCCTTCACCTGAAAGTGGCTGCCTTCTCCCTGTGGTGCTAAGAGAACACAACCTCAACACCTATACTTCTCTTTCTCAGGGTCAGCCCCAGCTCACATCTGCCTATTTCGGTTTACTTTTTGTGATTCTTTGCAAATTATGCAATTGCATAAGCACACACTCAGGGAAATAAATCTGCCTTGTTCATGGTAATCTTGATCCAGGATCCCAAAGGGATGAGCTAATTTGTAAAACAAATCACTGCAGCTCTTTCAGAGTTACATACTTCTTTTTTTGTTCAACTACAAAGAAATGCAGAATGCATAAAGCTTAACCTACCACACAGTTACCAGTAGGTGGTAAAAACATGTCATATCCATAACTCACATTACAGAATTACTTCTGAAAAAATAACTTTCTTTCCCAAATAAGCATACTAGCAGTCACAACACATATCTCTGCTGAGCTTAATAAGCATGACTAGGGCAATTGGGTATTAATTATCAGATAATTTCAGATGTAAAACATTCCTTACTCTATTTTTTAAAAGACAATAAATGTCCTTGACCAACTTCTGTAACTACAGACTGATAAGATAATCAGAAAAAGTGGTAGTATCTAATGCCTGAATATTTTTTCACAAATTACTTGCACTTATTTGTAACATTGATGATAACAAACGTTGTCAAAATACATGCTTAAGCTTCCATCTAAAACATACAGTTCCATTAAGTAAGTGGCTCCTAATTTTTCATGCACAGCTATTACATTTGCCTGGGTAAATCACCTACCCAGTTTGCACATATGATTCTGGTAACAGCACATTAAGATGACAAACGGCAACCAGTGTGGGCCATTCACTGCAGTGAATTTTTTGCTTGCCTATCACTGCTGCCAAATGTGTTTCTAAATTGCATACACAAATCCAGACCCTGGTTCATGAATGCCTCACTATTCAGAACAGCACTTAAAACATATGCATAACTTAACCATGGGTAACACTGAAATAAATAGGATTTAATAAAGTCAGTGAAAGTTAATCAAATGCTTATGCACTTAAATACTCTCTAAAAATCAGTAAAAATTTGATCTAACACAATGCAAAATCAGAAAAGCAAGAAATATTTCATGCTTTGCCAATCTTTTCATGTGCTTTTCAAGTGCCTCATGAAAATTGCTTAAAGAACAGGGCTTTATAATCTCAAATGGCTGTTTGTTACCTGAATCGTTCTGTGTGTCTACTGAATTCCAGCAGCTAGAAGTGGGGCAGCACGAGTGTCTCTATGTGTGGTGGCAGAAAACAACCTGGGCCCTATCTCTATTTTGTTTATTACAATATGACACCCACTGGCTTCAGCAGAGTAACTTCTGTATCACAGTAAAAATCTGACTTTCACAGGTAGGTGTGCTTTGCTCTTCTTTCTAAAGACTGGTACTCCCGCTGCAGGGACAAGTAAACAAGACACATCAATTCCTAAGCAGGAGCAGACTACAGCCCTGGGTACCAGTGCACACTAGTGTTGATTTCATTTTTCTCTTAACTTGCCAGGTTGCACACTGCTGTAGAACACAGGCTGTGAAGTTTCCCTGTTGTGGGAATGACAACTTGCAGTGGAGGTGCAAAGCAGGCAACGGCGGGGGGGGGGCAATAAGTGCTTCAGCCATCCCAAACTAACCTCCCACTGCATGTGATTCAATACTGTGAAAGCAAAATCAGGCCTCCTAAGTCTGATAGCTTGTAAATATGATGCTGGGAGTATAAACAATTTGCAGGAAAGAAAAAATGTTGCCTGGGGCTTGAGGGGAAAACAAAGAAAAAGGAAAAGAATAAAAAGGAAAAAGTGTAGAAAATTAGCATCTTGTCAGATACGTGACTGGCACAAAACAGCCCTGTTAATTTCCTTCCCCCCTCATCTTCCCCAAACCAAATGTTTAAAACAAGGAAAGAAATAAAAGAACATCTAAATCTTCTTGTCATGTATTACAGTTTTCATGTAAACTTATGACTTGGAGGCCATAACTCCAAGTCATGATCTTGCCAAAATTATTTCAAGAAATATGTTCAGCTAACCTTTGGGCTGGCACCTTAGGCTGGCTATTCTCTGCCTTAAGACGTAGAAAGCTGCAAAACAAATATCCAAAAAAAGAAATTCCAGCTTTTTTTTTTTTTTTTTTTTCTGTACAGAGGATGGACTTGGCTGGGGTTTTTATCAACTTGTTACATTCCTGGAGACTTACACACATTCAACATTCAGAGCTTTTCTGAAACAAAAAAAAAATTCTAGTACACATTTAAAAATGGAAATACCTTACATCAGTATTTCATTATGAGATTTAATGAACACATTCTGATACATAATTAAAAATGATGATGTGATGCTATTCTTATTCAATTAAGGAGCTACACTTTGTCATGTTTCATATGGTATGTAGTTGTAAAAATTCTCATGTTTCACCATTTAGGTTCAATGTTTCCACCCAGAGAACATTAACACTTTTCTTAAAGAGACAGTATCCTTTCATTTAAATGTAGGTATATATTTTTAATGCTGCATCTCAGCAGAGTAAACACAAAGGGTTAGCATTTGGATGCTAATTTGAGAGCAATTAAAATCACACCCATTTTTAAGTATCTGAACACCTAGAACCAATAAACATGCTGGCATATAAATTTACTGGTCATTTTTATAATGTTTAAATTTTGAATATTATCTAAATTAAAACTAATGCTTTGAGACTTTTTCAGCTCTTACTACCATATGAAACTAGATATGCTACAAAAGTTAAATAAGATGGAAACAGAGATTTATTTAAAATAAAATAAATCAATTTATTTGCCAATAAAATTAATGTTAGCAACATAGCTTGTTAGGCTACATAGCCTTATTATAAAAGACTGGGACTTACTGCAACAGTAGCTCTTTGTATTTTAAGTAGTATGTGACCAACACTTGAGGGTTTGCTATGATTACAACTTACATGAGTTTAAACTAGCTTTAACTAGAAAGTCCCTTAGTGTTTGTTGCAGTAGAGGAAGGCTCCCCAGGTTGTTGCTGTGCTTTGAGAGAAGCTCCAAATACAAATATAGTACAGCTGTAAATGGTCAAATCAGGTTACTGTTGAGATTTCCTTGGGAAAAACTGGACTTCAAACCTATTATTCTATATATGAAGTGGGGGATAGATGCAGAGGGGCAATGGAAAAGGATACTGTATCTTTAACATAGTAAAGTCGTAACTGCTTTAAAAGCGTAAAGCTTCTAAAATGAAAAAACATAACCATAACTGAATAAAAATAGCAAAACCTCATTTTTCCTTGTCAGTATTAAAGTAGTATTGCAATTCTGTATAGAATTCCTTTTCTTTGAAAAGTACCTAGGGATGCACAAAAATATAGGACATTTCCTAAGAAGCAGGCATGCTGCATGTCACTATTAAATAAAAACTGCCAACACAATGCCTTAACACAGACCGTATTCTTGCAACCACAAATTCAGTGACAAAACTCTCACTGACTTTAAGGAGGTTTCTGCTGGTGGGTCAGCCTCCTGGAGGCCAGTGTTTTCATGGCTCATTACTGACAAAATCATGGGTTTATTTTTGTGCATCTTGGACCATACAGAATTGCCATCTCCACTGGAAGCATTGTTATGTGCAAGAAACAGAAGTCTTAAGCAGCTGATGGCCTCTTCTCCCATTGATGTATGAGAAGATTTGTATGGGCCAACTCCCATCAACATTATCGATGGTTATACAAAATCTCCTTCTAGGCATCAATGAGAGCACGACCACCTCCCCCCTCCACCTCCCACCACCTTGCATCTCTGTAAGCAGATTGCACAGTACAGATACACAGTCTTTAAGCTCAGAGGACAGAAGCAGCAGCGCAGACAGCATAAGTTTCTTCACAGCCATTGTAAGAAGGCAGCAGCATGCAGAGTTTCAGCAAAGCATTTGGTTATGCCTGTGTCTGCTATATCAGCTTGTACAAGCTCGTCTCTCTCTCTTGCAGGTCCCCTTAAGAACCTCCTGAAATAGTGTTCTTTCTACTAGGTTTGACTCAATGCTAACCTGTCATCCTTCAATTAGCATTTTTGAATGGTGCAATGCTAAGGAGAGGTGTAAACTGATGGCATGACTTATGTCTTTACTAGTGGGCTACTGTACTGTATAGCTTCTTGATTGCTCTGTCCCTATGCTTTTAAAGCTAATTGTCACGGGTTTAGTCTAAGGTGGTGGGAAATTACTTTGCTGACCTATTCTGGTTTTGCTCCCTAGGTATAACCAGATGGATGCTCTGAAAGACCACACTCATCTTCACAACCCCTTCTCCAGAGAGACTTTGTTATCATTTAAGGGGAATTCAATATTGAAATGAGTGAAGTAATCAAATAACATCACTACTTGAAAATCCACCTTCAGTGGGATTTTATTGCTGTTAAGCATTCAAACTTTCTGCCCATGGGACAAAATCTCAGAGTACCTCTACTGACTCCAACAGTCATGTAGGCTCATGCCAACAGAGGATCCAACAGTAGATCTGCATCCGTTTACAGAAGCTGCATATCCAACCTTCTATTCTGCACACATGTGACTGCAGCAAAAGGAACCATTTTTGCCATCGCCTCTAGCAAAGGAGTTGTCCAAACTGTAATCCAGAATGAGAATTCAAGTGGTTTTTTATTGCTTTTCTTAAAAAAATCTTGTTGAATCTTTTAAATCTATGTTAAAGTAGTATCTCTTTCTACAGTCCTTGGCTGTTAAACTACAGCTGAAATTTTCAAGCAAAAGGCAGCCTACATCTTTAGTGTACCTTGACTACACATAACGAGCACACAAATCACTTACAAACAGACATGCAGCCAAGTACAAAGCAGGTGTATTTCGTTCATGAAAGGCACACACATGTGGAAACCATTTTTATAGCTTCTGAAAGAATTACAGAGATATTTGTAAGCCAGCTAAAAGCAAGGCAGGTACATCATTAGTTCTAAGAATAACTTCCAGGGAACCAAGATGGATTAGTGGTAAAAACATCCACAAAGAACTATGATTTTTCAAATAACCCCTAGCATGGCCTGTTGGAAACTGAAGGGAAGAACTTCCACTTTTATACTGAGGAATAAAAAGCATCACGCTACTTTCACATGTGTCTGTGTGAAATGAGTGCATCTCTCATCCTGTATTTTAGTTTTCTGATAGGCTAACCAGAGCTCAGTACACGAGTATACATCCACAGTCGATTTGTGTACACCAGATTATCAGCAAGGGTCAGTCAGCAGCAAGTCCAAGGACCCTCCTGCTGCTTGGCCTACCTCTGACCTAACAGAGACACTTGGACAACAAGGCCCAGATTATCCTTTCCTTGAGAAACACTCAGGAAGACAGGCATCCCTGAAGAATACTGTCACAGACATCTTATTAGGGGAATGAGATGACAAGCTTCAGCAGGTCTCCTAGACTACAGTAGCTAGAATACAGGAATGGCCATGACTGTTTTATTTTGTGCAGTTGACATTTCTCATCCAGCATAAAGAACTGAGCTCCAGCCTTACCACTACTGGAAATTCTTTTCCCCTAGGTATTTCAAATCATGAAAATTAATGCTGAATACCACATTTAAAAAAAAAAAAAAAGGCTGAATCAACTTCCTAAGTCCAATATTTTTCTGCTGGAACACGGAAAACTGCATTTGTGCAAACCGTGTGCCCCAACCTGGTTTTCCCTGTATACTTTAAAACCCACAGAGTGGGTTCTGGGTTAGGACAACACACTGTTACAACAGATACAGTTGTCTTACAATGTAAAAGGAGTAACAAATTAAAAATGTAGTCAGTATCTGCTCTCACCAAAAACACTGTCACAGGAATTCAAAACCCCCTACTCAGAGAAGAAATCCAGAAGAAACTCCTTCTACTCTCACTTTTGCTCTGGCTTATAGTTTTGTTGTATGCACCACAATAACTTATAAAAATGCAAGACAACAGCCCTATTTTTACACACATCTCATCAGGTACTTTATCAACACACCATTTTTCATGGAAGTAGACTTCTGCGTGATTAATCCCACTTACAGCTACTACTTCCACTACTACTTATTAAGGTGCAAGTAAATCTCATAGGCTGGGCACCATGGGATTTTTTGAATAATTTCAGCTGGGATATTTAACATCTAACTTCACCAGGTTTAACCAATAAGTCTGGTTTATGTACTAGACCAAAACCTCAGAAAGCCTACTTAGTTATGCTAGTGGTGGAACACATCCACTGTTCTAAATCTAGATTAGGCCACTAAATAAGTGTAGATGGATTTTTGGTTTATAAGGACTTAGAAATGCCAGTGAATTTATCTGAGATACTTTTGTCAGCCCCTTTGAAAATATAGCTAAATTTTTATCAATTGCAAAATGTATCTAGTTGCCTAAATATAGATCTCGCTTTGGTGTTCACAACCTGCAAGGAATAAAAAAAAATAATAATCCAACCTGTTTCAAAGTTCTTGATTATTTCAGTTGGAGGGACGCCTTCTAAGTGCATTTGCTGGAATCAGAAAGAACATTTGGGAAGGCAATTTCACGTCACTGAAGAGAGAGTATTTCTACTAGCTGAGATGTTACAGCTGGCACTGACAGCCTTTGGAAGCAAGTTTACAGACAAATCAGACCTACGTGCACTTCCTTACACGTACTAGTCCTGATTGGTGTAATTTAACAGCAGACAGAGGATGTTTTAGAGGAAGAGTGTAAATTAAAGGAGGAGCCTGATTTCAACTTCTTCCTGCATGTTTATAAGAGTGAAAAAGACAGCTGAGTTGTGCTGACTTGCGTTACTAAGTAGTAGTAAGCATGGCCATGCCCTGTGTGCACCCTTTTTTCAGTCAAAGGGACATAAAAGGAATTTCTCCACACTTCACAGAAGCAAGTTTAGCTAACGCAGTTCAGTTTCCATTTGCGACTGTATGGATGGATTATGGATGGAAGATCAGGAGCACTGAGTTACCAAGGCTCAATAAGTTACTGCTTGTTAGCTGTAACACACTCCTACCCCATTAGAGCTGACACATACAGGCTTAAACCTCTGTCACGATTGAACCGTTACCTTAAATCACACAGCGGGTTTAAACTAGCGCACTTTTTCCTCAATAACCATGGGCAGAAGGCGTGCCCACGCGTGCTTGGTGGGGCAGCTCAGATGGACAGCAGAAAAGGTATCCAGGTATGTTAGAGATCGCATGCCTGTGGCTCATCATGGTTCAGAGGTCTCCATAAACTGAGACAGCCCTGACATGTATCGGAGTCTATATTCTTGCTACACCGTCTCCAGCACGGCTCTCACCTCACCTTTGTGTTCAGAAAGATAAATTCGGAGGTGATCAGTGCCTACATAGTAAACTATGCATGAGTAAGCAGGTGAGAGTCCAAAGCACTGGCAAGCCTTCTAAGAATGGCTCTAACTAGTTTGAAAAAAAAAAACATTTAAGATCACTAATAAAGAGCTCAGCATTATTGCCTGACTATTTACAGCTTCTTTTTTGGACTCATTTGTGAATTGGGTCTCACTACTAATTTTTAAGTCTGACTCTATACTTGTTTTCAATGTGCAAATACAATTTATTCTAGAAACAGTAAAGAAAACATACATCTAGTAGAGCAAGTCTGACGTACTTAATGACACTTATTTTGGGGACAGGACTAAGAGGTTTGCCTTTCTCCATAGAGAAAACAGGAGAAATAATTGTGTACTTGGCTTTTTGGAAATTTTTCAATTATATCCCTTTATACAGTAAAACACTAAAGTTTTCCTTAGAGGCCAGGAATGCTGCCTTCTGTGCCAGGTTAATCCTTCATACCAAATGCCACATTCCCAAGGTGGAGAGTTGACTACAGATTTTCTGTTTGGCTGCAAGCACTAAAGATTCACTTTTATTTAGTGTTATCTCCCACTCTGTGATATGACTGGAATTTTCACCACTCACAACTGGGGCAGATTTTCTTGCTTTATTTTGCTAGGAGTTTGGCTTCCATTTAAAAACTAGAAGGAGCTTCTAAGATTTTAATAAGGTCTTCACTCAAATGCCTGAGACTCTTCTGAACCAACAATTCAAAAATTATCAGCACCTCGTGAAAAAAATGGGAAAAAAATTTTAGACACCTAAGTGATAACTGTATTCTTTTGAAAGTCTGGGCCCAGCTACTGGAGATGACCACATGAAATCCAACTCTGCACTTCTTGGAAATGTGCATGGAGAACAAATCTGTGAATAATGGAAATGTGCATGGAGAACAAATCTGTGAATAAAATGTGACTAAAATGCAGTGGAAGGAGGTGAGAATTCATCTAGCTTTAGCCTTAAAAAAAAGAGCACTTATAGTACCTGAAAAAGCTGGCACTACAAATGACCTTACTGACCAAATTCTATGAGTAAAAAACAGAAAATATTTTCTATGTATAATTACTTTTGTCTCACTTTTAGTTACAAATCTTTTGATAGAGTCACTTTATACTACTAGTGTCTCTCAACATCATAAAAACACCGCCCCAAATCAGATTTGGTAACAGTGAGAAACTGACTTTCACCTAAACATGAGCTGCAATTTATGGCCACAACACAGAAGACAACTTGCCTAAGAAAACAGGCCACAGTAAGACCCTTTTAGCATTTTGGGGTTTTTTTGTTTTGTTCTTGGTTGGTTTTGTTGGGGTTTTTTTAAACAATGCAAATTATTGATACTTGCCAGTTAAGCCTTTGTAGCCTCAAACATTTAAATGCTCAATGATTTTCAAATAAACCTGCATAATGAAAGATGGACATAGATTCTGTGATTTCTGGAGTGGTCTCAATCAACCTACTCCACATTCTCCTTCCTTCTCCAGAAATAGTCAAGGAAAGGACTACTTGTTGCTAATTAGAGCCCTAAAAATCAAAATGATTCATTATATTGCCTGAGAGATATCAACCTGAGCTTCACATCGAAAAACAGTATCAGGGATACGTTCTAGAAGTATTTTACATAGCTTCTTTATCAGGCATCTTATATACCTATTAAACATTGTGTGCCTTCAACACACTTGGGAAGGAAGAAGCCAGTATTGCTGTTTACAGATTTGAACAAAACCTTTGCTGAGAGTCTACAGTTGCATTGCCAATGCTATTTCTGTCTTTTGCCTATTTGCCACCTACAGTCACTGCCTTGCAGACTAAGCAACTTACAGCAGTTAATACCTGTTTTACTTGAAAAACGGCCTTGCAGAAAACAATCTAGTTTGCAGACATTTGCATCTAAATAAAAAATTAGGATGAGTATTTATCGGTTCACTCTTGCAAAAACCTAGGGGACATCACTCATGTATGCACGGTTAAACACATGAGCAAGCATTTCCCGTATCAAAGGCTGTATTTTTAATAACCTAAGGTCTCTGTGACACTCCTAACAATTTGTACTTCTACACAGAGCTGGCTGCCACCACAGAATACCTTTTGAAGATGTGGTTAATGATGGAAGACTTATCTACTTTGTTACCCTGCAATGATATCAGATTCTAGATAGATGCGAGAATCTCAGAGATGTTTCTCTTCACGTGTGACCCAGTAAAAGGATGCTGTCAAGCTGATTTATTCCCTTAGTTTGAGGTTACTGAAAGAATGACTGAATTTAATACTAATTGAATTTAATAACTGAATTTAATACTAATAATCATTTCCACTGACTTTTTAAGTGAAATGTCAATAATTTGGGTTTCCTTCTTGGGCACAAATATTCTTACCCTCCAGCGCCTGTAACATGACACAGTGTAGTGTTACATCAGACTATTAGAACAGAGCATGAAACAGAGCAGAAACCAAACAGAAATTCCCAAATTCTCATTACCCTAACTAATGTTTACCTTTCTTGATTGCAATCATTTTTAGTACAGTTAATAACAGACAGAATTTTAACATGACAACATCCTTCTAAGTAAGACTCACACGTGCAAAAGCCTAAGCCCTGCATTGTAAGAATGTGTGTGCATGAGTGAAAGACGTGACTAGGTATGTACAAGCCTTTTCTACAAGTGACTAGAAGCCCCAGCAGCAACGATACTCACGTTGGCATTGTCCCCAGGACAATCGGGCCCAGCCCCAGCAGCAGTCAATTCTACTTCCAAACCGACACAGTCCTGTGGAGGAGACTATTTGTCTGGGCCACCTGAACAAGACAGTTCAAAAAAGTCTGGTGAAACATTTTAAAAATAGCTAAAGTAATTCTAGATTAAGAAAAACAAAAGACAAAGTCCATCAAAAGCCTCTCCTGCATGGAACTGTGTATCTTTTTTAAAAAAAAAAACAAACCCAAACACTAACTGCTCTAAGCTAAGTCTTTGATATTTCTATCATGAATATTGTGTTTAGTTCAGAAAATATAAATGGCTATAGGCAAAGAGGGGCAAAGATAATTAGGGTAACTTTGTAAAGTCTGAAAAAACTGACAGGGCTTTGCAATATGCTCACTGTTGCCACTGCCAGGCTGGCATGGAATAATTTCCGAAGCCTGAAACAGAATTTATAATGTGGAATAAACCACCACCACAAAGTTTCGGCATTCAGTTTATTTCACAATACATGGCCAAATTTTCTCACTGAAACCTTAAAGGGAAACAAAAGCTTCCTGAACTGTTAAACAGAAAGGAAACACGAAAGGAGAACCGTAGTCTTGCCTTGTTCCAAGGGAAAGACACCACCACAGCCTCAAGCAGTTACAAAGTACCGACCGAACTCGCTAATGTTTTTAATGACAAGCTGACAAAAACGAACGCTGCATTTGAACAAATCCTAAACCGAAACGCCTGGAGGGGGGATCCCGCCGGCTGATTCCCAGGCACACAGAACGGCCGTGCCTGGCCGGGCCGGGCGCTCCCCGCAGCGCCCCGGGCGC